ATGGCTACCGAATGCTATTTTTGTGTGAAAATTCTCGATTTTATTTTAGCTTCGATGCGAAGCTGAGAAGGTATTAATTTTACTATGATGTGTTTTTTTTTTTTTTTTTTTTTTTTTTTTAAATGATTACCTTTAACATATTAAAAATCAAAATCAGTATTAATTTAATACAATTTTTTTTGTTCTTAATTATTTTTTTTTATATGTAAAAACTATTTTTTAATAATATTAAAACTTAGAAGTTATAGAAAAAGTCTAATTGCACATTTTAAAACATCGCGAAAAGTTGATTTAGAATAGTATATTTTTGTTTCTGATGGAAGTTCCTTGTAGTCCAGTGTATAAAACTTATAACTTTGTTAATTGTTATAACTTTATCAAAAATGACCAAATCAGTATATTTTTTTTTATTTAGATGCATGTCTTTATCTATCATTTGGTTTTTTTTATAAATCTAACCCTTTACCTGCCCACAAGAGGGATTCAAAATATTAACTTTTTTTTTTTTAGTTAAAGTAAATCATTAAAATTAATTCAGTTCTGGATATTTCAATAGTAGAATCTTTTTAAATATCAAAAATTACTTAGAAATGATTACTATGATTTCTATTTAAGTGTTCTATTACGATAAAAATGCAAAAAATAATGAGTTTTTCTGATAAATTTACAATAAATAATAATTATAAAACTTTCTGACTGCATATTAATCTTAAAAATAACATTGTTTTAATTCTCATAAAATTTTCTATTTAATGATTCATTCTAGTCAACGAAGGAGTAATTTTGCAGAATAGCAGAAAAAATTCCCAACAAACTTTTTTTTTTTTTGTTTTAATTAGGCAATTGGTGGATTATTCCAAAAGCAACATCAACTCTTATTTCTTTAATTATATCATGATTAGTAGTTCTTTGATTTTAAAATATAATATATGAATATATACTAATTATAATTATTAAATTTAGTATGAAATTGATATTTAATATTGTAATTTAAACGGAGAAATTATAAAAATAATAAAGAAGTTATATTTTGCTTTACTTTTACGTGTATAAAAATTTAAAGGGCTTGATACAATAATTTTCAATAAAAACTGTTTGTTACTATAAAAAAATGCACTGGACTACAAGGAACTTTCATCAGAAGCAAAAATATACTTTTCTAAATCAAATTTTCGCGTTGTTTTCAAATCTGCAAGTAGACTATTTCTATCACTTCTAATTTTTTATATTATTACTAATTATATATATAAAATAATAATTAAAAGAAAAAAAAATTTGTTTTCAAATTATTACTGATTTGATTTTTAATATGTTAAAAATAATCAGTCCAAATTTTCAATTTTAACCTATTTTTTTGGTTCTTTAAAGTTGATGAAAAATTTTTGATAAAGATTTATGAAAGTTTATAGTAAAATAAATTGAATATATTACCATAACTTTTAGCTCAATTACAAGTTTAAAATTGACATCTAGGCCTGTCAACAAAGGAAAAATTGCGGAAAAAATTTTGTTTTTTTAAAAGTTGAATTAAAATATGTATAATGACATACTAATAGTCCTCAAGATTGGAATTGAGCTTTTTTTTTAAATCCTCGCAAAAGTTCAAAAATATGAGCTTTCTTAATTTTCTCAAAAAAAAATATTTAACTTACAAAAAAAAGTTTCGCACAAAAGTTGTTTAAAAGACAATTATAAATAAAAATATAATCTTATATTTTTTCATTTAAACAAATATTTTTCGAGTTACATTACATTTAATATGAGTAATAAAATTTATATTCCATTTTTTTCATTTTACGGTTACTTTTTATCATGTTATACTTACATTAGACACAATGTTATAAATGCATATGTGTGTATGTGTGAGTTTATTTATTTATTGTATCATTAAAGTGTAGTGTATATTGAGATACAACCGATAGAGTAGGTAATTGATTTGACGCTATATTATTTAAACCCAACTAAACGCTAAATTGTACATTCCGAAATAACAATCATATTATGTCAATTGCCACCGGAATATCTGGTAATATTTTTCTTTTTCTTTGCCTTAATCCCAACTACTTGGGGTCGGGCACCCTTATCCTAAGATTCCACTTGACACGATCTCCCACATCTTCTACGCTCACATCAGCTGTCCTCAAATCGCATTCAATAGCATCCCTCCATCTCTTTTTTGGTCTTCCTCTATCTCTTCTTCCTTCAACATTCATTTCTATAACTGTTCTTACAGCTTTCGATTCTTCTTTCCTCATACCATGACTAAACAATCTAAGTCTATTTTCTGTCATCTTATCCACGATTGACGCAACACCTATACTTCCTCTTATATGCTCGTTCCTTATCCTATCTTCTCTAGTCACTCCACTCATCCAACTAAGCATTCTCATCTCTGCTACACTTATTCTCTGCTCTACTTTCTTATCAACCGCCCAACACTATGAACCATACATCATAGCTGGCCTCACAATTTCATACTAAATTTAAAAACTATAATTAGTATTTATTCATATATTATATTTTAAAATCAAAGAACTACTAATCAGGATATAATTAAAGAAATAAGAGTTCATGTTGCTTTTAAAATATTTCACCAATTTCTCTAAAGGAAACACTATCTACAGATTTGCATCGAAGCGTTTCTTATGATAGTGATTTTAATCACTGTCAGATATCATCTATACATGTCCCATCTATGCCTCGTCCACACTGTGCCTCGACCCCACTGTGCTACCGTTTTATTTTTATTTTTAACTTTATAATGCTATAACTTATTGAAAAGTGTATGGATCAACATAATTTTTTTTTGAAAAATAATAATTTTTAATAATCCCTTTTTCATTCGATATACTTTATCTGAATCAGGATATTAATAACGAACTAGCAGATCACGTTGCTTTTGGAATAATCCACCTATTTTTTAAAATTAAACACTATCTAAAGATTTGCATCGAAGCGTTTTTTTAAGATAGTGATTTTAATCACTGTCAGATATTATTAAACTTGATCCAAATATGTCACGTCACCACTGTGCCGCGACCCCCCTGTTCTGGGTTTTTTACATCTTTAACTTTATAATGCTATAACTTTTTGAAAAGTGTATGGATCAATACAATTTTTTTACGAGAAATAATATTTATATCCCTGTTTCATTCGATATGCTTTATCTTAATCAGGATATAAATGAGGAAATAGCGAATCATGTAGCTTTTGGAATAATCGACCAATTTTTTAAAATTAAACACTATCTAAAGATTTGCATCGAAAGGTTTTTTTTTATAGTGATTTTGATCACTGTTAGATATCATTATACTTGATCCAACTATTCACGTCACCACTGTGCCGCGACCCCCTTGTGCTGGGTTTTTTGTTTCCTATATTTTACACAATCTTTTATTTATTTTTTCAAAATACCGTGCTTAAAAATCAATAAGCCCAATCCAACTAGAAAGCAAAAACATATATATTACATAACATTTAATATTTTTTTCAACAAATTACATATATTTTTAAAGAAATGAGAAATTGAAAAAGTTTCTTTTTTTAAAAAGTAACGAGGAATTAAAACGAATTTTAATTATACTAAATAAATTAATGAAATGATGATGTTTTTATCTTGATGTCATTGATTTAGATTTAATCTAGCATCGTTTTTAAGAAACTCAGAATTTTTAAACAAATCTAAAAAACGTCATTTATTAATTAAATGTACAGTACATAAAAAAAAAGTTTAATTTAATTTAATTATGAATGATGTAGACTTAGATTTTCTGCTGCTTTGCAAAACATAAAACCAGTAAAATTTTACCTCATCTTCACTACGCCGAATCAAAAATCGGGGTGATCTATCTTCATAATCCATTCTATTTGACCGCCACTAAATCTATTACTCAACAATATATTAGAATATCACAAAAAATATACATGTTATCGCAGTATTATGCTAAAACTGTAATAATTATTTTACATTTTGTTTTAAAGTAATAAAATATTTAAATGAAAATATGTATATATCATGGTAGTACTACTTGACTATCAAATTCATCTGTGTATATGATTGGTATAAAGTAAAACAAATTATATTCATCAATTTAATGAGGGAAATTTAAAGAGAGGCTGTGGCATCAATGAAAAAGAATGAAGCAGTAGTTAAGGAAAAGAGTGGACGACCCAAAGTAGTTGGGATTAAGCCGAGGAAGTAGATCTGAGGAATAAGCGGGTGGGATAAGACTTCCATTTGAACGTTTCTATGTAGGTTTTAAGGGGTTTGGCAACATAATGCCTATTGTCATGTAGTAAAATCACTTTTTCGTGATTGTGGTTGTTTTTCACACAGTGCTCAGATTAGTCACCGATAAGATAAGAGAAAATAGACTTGGATGGTTTGGTCGTGTTATGAGGAGAGAAGAATTGAAAGCTGCAAGAACATTTATAGAAATGAATGTTGAAAGAAGAAGAGGTAGAGGAAGACTAAAAAAGAGATGGAGAGATGCTATTGAATACGATATGAGGACAGCTGATGTGAGAGATCATGTCAAGTGGAAGTTTAGGATAAGGTTGACTAACCCCAAGTAGTTAGGATTAAAGCGAGGAAGAAGAAGGACAAGAATTTAATGAGGGAAATTTAATAATTTAACCATAATAAAAATTGATCTGATTAAATAACTATAGTGAAATAAGTTAGTTAAAACAAATAAAAATTTTTGATTTAATGATTAATAATATCAATAACGATTAATAATCAATTGGCGTATAAAAACGTTGAAACCTATATCTTACGGCTTATATTCTCTGTACGTAAACACTACTAGGTTAATTTTTCAATACATTGAAATATTGTAAACATACATACATACATACATTATAAACGTTATAATATTAATGCTTTAAGAAACTACAGACTACAGAATAGTCTAATTTTCATGTAGTCCGTGAAGAAACTACCGTTACGCTAATCGGGAACAAATTATTTTGATAAGAACACATGAGTCGAAACAGCTGTATCGTTGCCAAGGAAATCGTTGTTATTTTTCTTTTCTAAAAAGAAACTAATTCATTAATTTTTAAACAAATTTTTAGGATATTTATAATGAAAATTTTTATATTTCAACTCTTAAAAAATTTTAGATTTATCAATATTTTACGTTAAAATTATAAATTGCAACAGTACAATAGGATGAACGACGGTCAATAACTGGCTCACTGCCAGTGTTTCATCCATATTTGGAAAGTATCTCATTTTTACATTACTTTGTGAGTAATAATTTCGCATCCATATATAGAACATTTTGGAGGACATCCAATTTTTGATTGTGCTAATTTATATCTTTAGATCAAAAATTCAAAATAAATTAATGAAAATTTGTTTTGCTACATTATGAGGTATAGATTATTGAATAATTTTTATTAGTAGACTAAAATATGGAGAATACATAACTACTATCTGTTCCATAACTTGCCATTGTTTTTAACATTGACATAGTGCTACTATGATTCCAGGCATAATCTGCAAAGCTTTAATGTGAGTTTATTTGAACCATTAATACTATGTTTATATATTGTGAGTTACTTATTTGCAAGGTCAGCTAATCAAAATATTAATGTAATATAACTATAATTAGGGATACAAATATTAAGTATTAGGATAAAATATGATTACTTGACTTCATATAAAACTAGTGACTCTTTACAATATTTCCTTCTAAAATTAATTTTAGTATTTTATATGCTTTACCAGAAAATTGCTTTGAATTACATATCTAGATATTAAATATTTTAAATACTCTTTATTTACTTTTATAAATAAATTTTATAAAAGATATTTTACCATATATTTGTGATGATAGTTTGATTTTTATTTGATATTAATGTTTGACAGGTTACTATTTGGAGTTATGTACCCTGCATATGCGTCATACAAGACTGTTAAAAATAAGCATGTAAAAAATTATGTAAGTTAATTTTAATAAAGTTTATCTATTATGATATTAATCATGGTGGATGTACTAAACATTCCTAATTAATGATATGTTTAAATTAGAGGAATAAGACTTTGTTAATCAGTAATTAATTAATGAAGTCATATTTAAAAATTTTGTACTCTAAAGAAAAAAATTTCCCTACCTAACCTAAATTTCCTTAATAATATATTTAAAAAAATATCATGCTAAACTAATGAGTGTCTTTTTTTTTTATTAAAATCTAAAATTTTATTTAATATTTAATAAAAGTTAACATTGAAATAGGCTTAATAAATTATTAATTTTACTATTATTTTAATCATCATTATGATATATATTTTATATCAGCCAAAAGTTCCTAAAATTGCAATATCTAGTGCTCATACCCCTATCCTCCTATTAACAGAATTTGTAATAAGATATCAATCATATCTATTTGTATTATTAAACATTGTACAACTGAAAAGCATAAAAAGTATTTCACTTGTGTGTTGTTTTGCTACATTTTGATTGGGATTGGTCATCAATCAGTATGTTTATTTTCTATAATATTTTACCACTATGAATATAATTTCAACGTATAAACTTCCAAAAAAATTATTTTATCACATTTATTTTTTATGATAGGTCAAATGGATGATGTATTGGATAGTTTATGCTGCATTTATGTGTTTAGAAAGTTTAACAGACATATTTCTAGAATTCTGGTAGTATAAATTGTGATTTATCTATAAGTTTTAGTTTTTAAACATTAACATTATTTTTTAGGTTTCCTTTTTATTATGAAATTAAGTTACTAGTGCTATTGTGGTTAATATGTCCATTTACTAAAGGTTCAACCATTGTTTACAAAGAAATTGTACATCCAACATTAATGAAAAAAGAAACTGTATGTCAATAATTAATCAAATTAATCATGTTTCATTGGCATTAATTAATATTTTTTTATTAGGATATAGATGAATTTTTAATTAAATGTAAGTCACAAACATACAATGCTGTTGCACAAACTGCAAAACAGACTTTTCAAATGACTGCTGCTATAGTTATTCAGCATACTTCAGCTGTAAGTATTTAAAAATATGTGTAAATATTAAAATCTATTGTATATGTTTAAATGAATTATTATTTTACAGGTTAGTGGACTATTACCTCAAATATTACTTCAACAAGTTGCAAACTCTATGGATATTGACTCCAATACACCCTCTGTAAAAACAAAAAAACAAAATAGTCCTGTGATTGAGTCTACTGACTTTGTGTCCACTAATGAGTGGTCAATATTAAAAGATCAACATGTAGAAAAAGTTGATGAACAACCTGCTGTTAGGCCAAAACGTAGGAAAGCATTAAATTTAAAGAAAACTCCTAATATTAATATTAATGGAGTTGGAACAAAACGTGTATCTTTATAAAAAAAATATATATTTTTGTATTGTACAATCATTAAATAAGTTTTATTTCTATTATTTATTTTATTTGTACATTATTAAAAGACAAATAATTTATATTGTGCTATATTTTACTGCACATTAATTAAATAAAAGCTATGTATAGATGAGAGTAATAACTATTTTCCTACCTAGATGGTGCTAAAATATTGTGATTGTTTAAAGTAACCTAGTTTTATTTTATATTATATTGTTATTCTAATCTGATAAGTTGCTTAAAATATTATTTCTTTTTTTCAACAGTGTTACATTTTAATTTGTTATTTTTTTTAAGATATTGAGATATGATATAAAAAGTATTAAATTATTTTTTTTTTTTAATTATATTTTTCTAGTCATGTTTATGCACACTGATAAAAACCATGACATAGTATTGTTAAGAATGAATTTTTTTTTTACTAATAGTAATATGTGTATATATATATAATTGTATTATCAAATTAAAAGAGATTAATTGAACTTAATTATTAATCCATTTGAAACTTGATATACATAATCTTATAAATTTAATATTAAAATATAATTCTGAATTTGATGTTATTAATGAGTATAATAGCATATGTATTTCTTTAAATTTTCTACCTTATGATTCATGATATATTTTTATTCAGAACTTAACTATCTAATTATAACTCCAAACATTTTTAATTTAGATTAACCAAGATTTTTTTCTGAAGTAAATCAGAACTAATTTTTTGAAAGTTCGCAAGTATATTAATTTACCTAGCTTTTATAATAAATGTCAAAAATCAAATGGCGTGTTATATGAAAGCTACAATTATGGAGAATATAATACTGAGATGTCCAAATTTTTAACCTGAATAAACTTTATCCACTGATATTAATGTTCGAGAAACATGAAACAGAAATAGAGAAAAAGGAAAAATCCAGTACTGTTACTTTAATAATTCCTAATAAACATTTTTGTACTTTGATAAATATTAAACATAATTTTGATGTAGTTTTTATGGCGTAGAGCCAAAAAAATATCAAATAAATTGAACTTTTTAGTATTGTATTACATTCACTATACTTATTACAAAAGCTAGGTAGCATTAAAAACTTGATGAAAAATCCGAGTTATCTCTTAATATGTCACTGGGAAATATATGATGGAAGTAGAACTTTGATATCGCTATATTTGAGTAAATATATTGATGTTTTAAATAAATTATCGGTATATCAATGTATTAATAAGACTATTGGTATATTCGATTAATCAAATAGAATTGATTATTTTAACATTATCAACTGTCGTATATAACAAATGACTATTATGTCCATTAATAGGCCTGTGCTATAACTCTACTAATCATGTTTACATATTGTAAAAAATTGATATAATCTGCCTTATTTGCTAATTAATATGTTATTTCATTGAAATATAATTATTAATCACATTATGATACTGAGGCATCTCTTTAAATTATTTTTAACTTTAAAATTATAATACTTTATGTTACCTTATTCTAAATCTCAAAAACTGATGAATCTTAAAATTAACAACCCACAGTACTATATACATATTGGTTTAAAACAAATAAATTTAGTTTAAAAAAATGTAATCTGAAAATGCAATACAATATGTTTATTAATCAAAATTTTTTGTAAAAATGCAATTCTAATATATACTTAATATAAAATTTCATTGTTTGAATAAAGTTTAATTATATGAGTATACATAACACTAAAATATATTAATTAAATTTGCATTTTGAAAAATCCATTTCAGGATGCTGTTCCATGAACCTAGATACAAAAAAGAAGGTTAATTATTAAAAATTATATAGGTACTAAATCATTATTTTTTAGATTTTGATAAATTACTTTTTTAGTACATCCTGTTTTTTTTGCTCATCTGAAGTAGGTAGTCCCATATTTTTTTGTTGTTGGTCATACATCATTTTTTCTACCATAGATCTAGTTTCACCTTCAAGATCTGACAATTTTGATGGTTCTGGGTTGATTTTTTTTGTTGATATTTCTGGATCAGATAATATTAATTTTGACCACCATTCCATTTTATTTACCTTAAAAAAATTAAAAATATATTTTACTGTAGTTTCAAAATTAAAATAAATAAACTACTTTTTCTATGTTAATAAGGAATGTTTTTCCATCTTCAAGTAACCATGTAGTTTCTTCAAGTTTAATTTCATGTTGTAGTTCATCGTCCACTATAGGAGGTTGACCTTTAATTCCAACACAAATGTGCTTCTTCTTTAAATTCACAATAACATCGCGTGACCTTAGTTTAAAAGCTGCTTTTGAAGGAATTCTTAGCTATAAATAAGTAAAGTTAATTTAGAATAGAAAGAAAATAAAAATACAAGTAATTAATGTTATAATATCTAGACGAAACATCAAGAAAATATTAATAACATTACATTGCATTATTATGTTTCTCATTTATTAAAATTATCAATGTTTTTTATAGTTAATATTAGTTTTATATTGTACAATGCCAATAATTAACTTCTATAGGAGACATTGTTTATCTTATTAGAAACCACAAAGAGAATTCGAAAAGCTATTATTTAACATCTCCTTAAGCCTAAAAATTCATGCTTAACCACCACTGTGAAATAGTATGGACATAAAACACTTTTTTTGTGAGAAACAGACTTGATTTCCACCATTTATAGGGAACAAGGTAAAATTTTTAATTTTTAAGGTAATGTTTTGAGGTTTATATAACAGTTGTTCATATAAAATTTGGTTTCATATTTCAATAATTATTGTATTTTTGTTTTTATGTGATACTTACGTTTAATAAAAATAAATAAATATAAATCATACCTCAATATCTGATAATGTTTGAGTCCATTTATAATTAGGTAAATCACAACCATTGCCGGAATTTGGTTTCAATTTACCTTTTTCTTTGGGATCGTCTTCATCTTCCTCAATAATTGGCGATGTATCATTATCACCGGCACGAGAGATATTTGATAAATCATCTGTGTCTTTCTTTTTCTAAAACAAAAAATTTTTTATTATTCATACTAAAAAGTTATAAGCAAAATATTTATAATAGAAATGATATAATATCCTAAATAAAATGTTTTTAGAGATTTGTAGTAGAGTAACTAGAAAATTGAATAAATTTAATTATTCCATCAATTTAAATTACTACCAAAGACACTATGGTTAATATACATATAAAATTAATATAACCATAAATAAAATTTTTCAAAATTCTAAGTGGTGCTTAATTTCCAAGATAATACCAGATTGATGGGGGGTTTTAAGGGAACATACACCCCAACCAGATTTAGGGGGTCCAGATACTTATTTTAATGAAAAAAAATTCAGTTTATCTTTGAGAAAAAATGTATGAAAAATAAAAAAATGAACTTCATAAAATAATTATCATTTATTTTTATTAAATGGAACCAAAAAAATGTTAAAATTTCATAGTTGAATGGAGAGATATCTGATGAATACAATAAAATCATAATAAACATTCAATTATGTGAGTTAATATTTATAGTTCTATTATAATTATAATTGAACAGTGAACCCATAGTCATTGGTAAGCTAGAATACAACCTCTTTAAGAATTACCTGTATTAGTTGGAATTTGATAACATAAATAATACTATAAAAGACATAAATACTATCTATTTTATGAAAGTATGTTTAAATTACCTATATAATGCATCAAAAAATAAGTTAATAAATGAAAAAAATTGTTTTCCTAACTTTGTTTAATCTAAATATTCCTTCTAAGTTTAATTCTAACTGCGGTTTTGATATCATTATTATTATAAATATTATTAACACCACATTCTGGATATATTTTGATCATACATCATATGATAATTATTAACATTTTCTTATTTTCATAAAATCCTAAATTATTTTTAAGAAAAAAAAAGCGTATCTAATAAAACTATTATTTCATAATATAATTAGTAGAAGTTGACCAATATTATAGAGTATCACTACAATTTCGATATCAATAGTTTTTATGTTAAAATTTCAATATCCATATTGTAGAGAAATATTGCAATATTATCAATATCAATTTGAAATGTCTTATCAATAAAAAAAATATTATGTTTAATTTAAATTTACATGGCAAATTATTAAGTATATATATTCCAATATTTAGACATACCTATAATGAGGTAGTAATTATTAAAAATAATCAAATTATTTATTTACTTTATTTTAATTATTTATTCATATAATGGAATTGATGAAATTTAAATTTGATTGTTTTAATTATGAAAATGTCACTATAACAAGGTAACTAAATTATTATTATGTAGTTATCAAAAATATTGATAATCAATTTATTGTGATATGAATATATTTCAATATTGAATTATTTTCAATATTCAAAAAATCAAAACAATATTAATGTCCAAAAAAAATATCATTGAAGATCCTTAATATTAAGTAAATTTAGAGTATATGTTGAAAAATACTCAGTATTAATTAATAAGTTCAGTAATATAAATAGTGATTTAAGGAAATATTACTGTAACTAATTAATTAATAATATAAAATTAAAAATATTAAACAAGTACATTTTAATCTATATTATAATAGAAAATTGGACTTTACTAAATTAAAACTAATTCTTGTAAGCTATTGCACTTGGAAAAATAAACTTTAAACAGACTATGGAGTAATATTTTCTATATAATTCTTATGACTATGTTTATAGTAAACATGGTATAGTACCATGTCTATTTCTTTTTGAAGTTGTTCAGCTTCTTCATCAGTTAATTCTTTTAATTTTGGTTTATCTGCTTCTTTTTCTTTTTGAGCTTTTTGGAGTCTTTTCATGGCTTCATCTCTACGTTTTTCATCTGCTTTTTGTTTTTCACAAAGGGCATTGTTTCTGTGTTTGTTGAATATTGACATTAAAATCTAAAATCAAGTAAATATTATTTTTTAAACAAAATATTTATAGCAAGTTATTACTCTTTCAGATGCTTTTTCATCAGGACTTCCAGTAAAGTAATCAGTCTTCCTAGCTAAAAAGCTAAAAAAGGTATCCAGTAACTGAAATTTATTTAATTATAAAATTATTAGTATAATCTTTAAAAAAAAATGTATGCAATTTTATTCCACAGAAATATAATTAACATTCATATCATTAAGTTTTTCTATTCTATTAACAAAATTAGTAATGTACTAATTATTAGTAATTACATGTATGTTTAAATTAAATCAAATATTTATTATCTATTTCTGTGAGGCTTTAATTAATACACAGAAAGTATAAAACTTCAACATATTATATCATGATGCTAATTGCCAAATATCTATTATCACAATTATCTTTCCTTCATTCTGTATCAAATACAATTTTTTCTACATCAAAATGATTTATGAGTTTATTAATGATTTCTAACTCTATATGTAAATTATACAAACAAATACCAAAAAATTATGCTAACATTTTCTTATTGTTAAATAGGATTGATTTCTTGGAAAAAACTATTTCGTGTTATAGATTACTAAGTTACATCATCTTTGATATATCATCATTACTATGTTTTACAACACTATATTGTCACCCTTAAAAGTTTCCATGGTAACCATGTACGTAATGACATCTCAACAAAATCTTAGTAACAGTAATTAATTTTTTATTATACCCCTATAATACTAATTATTTAATTATTAAAAAAAAAAAATAGCACATGAACTAAAATGATTAACTAAGAATTGAATATGTTACTAATTTCTCTCTCTATATATATATATAAATATATAATAAAATGATTAATTTTTTTAAAATTATTAACTAATTAATAATAAATATTTATTAAAGTGATTTCTTAAGACATTACATTTTTAATTATATATACAAAACTTTAATAATATATAAATTAGTCATAAGACTATTAAAAAAATTTAAATAATTAAAAATAGCTTACTTGATCAACGCCTTTTTCGTGTTGTTGAGCTATTGCTAAAAGCATCGCATCAAATTTTTCTTCTTTTTCACTAGGCATATTTAACTTACTTACATTTAACACTCAAAAAACGTACTGAAACTAAATGAATTTTAAAAGATAGAATATAACGAAAAAAACATAACCTATAATGACCAACTGGCTATAGATAAAACACCATGATTACAAGTTTATTTTTGCGCAGGCGTAAACCTAATAAAAATTAGATAAAAAGCGTTCGACATGTGAAGTGTCAAAAACTAACTCATTGATTGGATGTAACTATAGCGACATCATAGCAAAATATTTCAACATATAGTTACATTTAGAAATATTATTGTATATGAGGAAAACGGGAAAATAATTGTGATAGAAGCGGATTTTCAAAACAATTTTCTAAGATGGAAAATTATATTAAAAATTGAAATGTATCTATTAGACATTATTTTTATTTATATAATTTATAATAAAATTTATTATTAAAACATGTCTATGATATAAATAAATATCGTGGTCTAAACTGTATATCTGTATAACATAGACACAAATTAAAAATGCGTAAGAAATTTAAATTTATTCTCCTGTTGTTTAAAAAATTAATATTATATTATAATGGATGGCAAGGAAGAGAATGAAAGGGATTACTGCGCCCTTGGAGACGAGCAAAAAGGTATTACAGATAAACACCCTGCAAATAAATCATCCGTAAAACTATCTCTAATTGTCAACAAACATTTTTCGTGAATGTTTTTTTATACCTTTTATTAGTTAAAAATAAAGTCGATAAGTACGTTGAGTTTAGACATACATAGATATATCTTCTTCCTCGCCTTAATCCCAACTACTTGGGGTCGGCCACCCTTATCCTCAACTTCCACTTGACACGATCTCTCACATCAAATGTCCTTTTCGCATTCAATAGCATCCTTTTATCTCTGTTTTGGTCTTCTTCTACCTCTTCTTCATATCTATGTTTTATATATCTATACATGGATATATAATACATTTAATACAACATAACACAAAATAATTGAAGAGTAAAACAATTCGCAAAAGTTTAACTTGTGAAGGTCTACTTTTGGTCTTTTACTTACTTTTTGGTTAGTTTTCATAATATATAATTGACAAACTTGTAGGATAGCTAAACAAATCTTTAATGATTTTTCTAATGTTTTGGATGTGTTCAAATTAATAAAAATCTCACTGAACTTCCTCGCGTTGCAATCATATGCCACTACAATTGAATAATAAAATTTATACATTTAATTTATTGTAAAAGTATAAATAAATAATTATGTAATAATTTTCATTGTGGAGGTTTCGATAGAGAAAAGAATCAAAAATCCTCTTTACATTTAAAATAATAATTTCAAGTTATATTTAATAAATTATTACTATTATATTTTCGAAAAATATAAAATTATGTATTGAGAAATAGAAATACAATTTTGTTTTGAAAAACCATATCGTACTTTCTAAATATTTTAGGTTTTTAAATATGGAGCCTATTTATAAAAAATATTAACCGATGTTTTGAAGACCATAAATGTTTTTTTTGTTGTTCTTACAAAAAAAAAAAATTTGGGTCTAGTATCTCAATTTACAATTTTATGCGAGGGCATTAATAACTACTGAAAGAAAATTGTCTTTCAAATCAATTATTGTACCCAATGTTTTATAGGAGTTGTGTTATGAAAATTTATAATTTCATTTATTGGGTTTAGTAGTATATATATGAACGTAATAAGTATATTTTTACATAACCACCAGACACTCCGTAATATCACAAAGATATACAATTTCATAAGTCATTGGAATAGGCATGGTATTTATATTCCAATAGAACATTTTCATATGAATGAATAACACATTGACCAATCTATATATTTTTTATCTATGAATTTATCACTACTTACTTTCTAAAAAATAAAGATCTAATTGTCCAGTACGACAATATGACGAATTTACTTGTTACCCACAACTGGTTGACGTCATCTACCCTTCCACTTAATCTTTCATGGTTAGTATTATGAGTCATTCAAAAAACATTTTACGTACCAATCAACATTTATCGGATATTATCAATATCATTTTCATAATTTTGTATTATGTTTTAAAAATTTATGTTGTCATCATAATTACTTTTTAAAGATCATATATTGTGTGGGTAAGTTTTAAATTTTTGAAAAATGTTAATAATTTTAGTTATATTGCTTCTTTATTTTTGTATTTCTATTTATTATTGTTTAACTTTTAAAAGTATAGGTACTTTTGTATCTTAAAATTTTTTACAAATTATTTAAAATTATAAGCAACAATAGAATAGATTACGAAATGACATTTTCAGTATAAGTAGTGACAACTAAATTAATTTTTTTAATGTTTCTTTATATAATTTTCATTACCTATTCTGATAGTAATGGTCCAATTTTCTTTTATTGAATAATTGTTTAAATTATCTACTAAATTCTTTTTTTCGAAAATTTTTAAATAAATCAATAAATAGAAAGTAACAATTATAAAATTATAGACTATATTGCGTAGTTAATTTGAAAAACACTATAATTAATTATCAAACAATTTGTAGTACCAACAATTTTATTTTGTATTATAACATATCCTTTTTTTTTTAACTCTGCTAATAGATAGACATAAGAATAAGTAATAACTAGTAACAAACAAGTCTGTTTAAAAAACTTTTCTGTATTCTGATGTTTACGTCTCAGCAACAGCAACAAGTTCAATTTCGTCACACTGATGTTCTATTGTCAGTATCTAAACAAAACGTATTACCACCACCTCCACCTGCTGTACCAATTGCTAGACATCTAGTTGTATCATCGAGTATGTCAAATTTAAACAATAATCCATCAATAACTTCTTCAATACTTACTGTAAGTATAATGATAATATTAATATCATGCTACTAATTAATTCAAGTTTAATTTAAAATTATTACTGTAAAAAGTATTTCACTTAAATATAACAATAAATTCATACATTTAGTATTGTTCTTCTAAAATATTTTAAATAAGATTCTAAATTTCTTCAAAAATCTTTTAATATTGCTATTTAGTACATTTCTATATAACTAGAATAAGGTGTGGTAAAAAATGTTATCACATTAGCTATTATATATATTGTATATTTCCTAACATCAGAAAGTGGTTAGCTAGATGAAAAAAAAATTGTAGGAGAGACAAAATAAAATAGAAAATTTTATACTATTAAATTATAATTCACTTTTTTGCAAGACTCTTTATCAAATATTATTATACCTAAATTGATGAAACTTTCTTGGTTTAAAATAAGTGTCTTTTACTTATGTTAGTTTAAAAATCAGAAAAATTAACAATTTTGAGTTAGTTATTTACCGATAGGTAACTCATCTTACCAATAGGTGATATATATTTTTTCATGTTTTTATCATCCATTAATTCTTTAATATATATTAAGTTAACAATTTGCACCCAAGCAGTCTCCTTTGAGCGGAGGTTTCTTAATCATACATATTGAATGGGTAGCTAGTCTTATTCTGGAGAGTAAATAGGAAGTGCTCACATCACGAATTGCCTTTGGTAGTACTATTCATTATTTTATTATTGTTCTATTAATTCAGTTTTACCTCTAATCAAATTTTATTTACATTGGTTAGTTAAAGATATAACAATATCACGCTATATATTTATTTTAAGCATAGGTGTCAGTCAACATCTTTGATCTTTCTAGAAATTTATTACAGATGTAATACATTTTTGGGGTGAGTTGGAATATTGTTATGAAGTAAGGAAATATTGTTAAAAGTAGTTCACAGTTCTCCTAGTGTTTAGCAGTAAAGTTCCATGTATTACAATTTAAAATAGGCTTTCTAATTTACTTTTAATTATAGATTTTAATTTTGAACAATACATTTTTTAGTTATATATAGTTAGATATTGGTACTACTAATTCAAAGGCTAGATAAAAAAACTATTTTACTTTTAATTAAGGATTTTTTATTTTTATACTAGGTATGAATAATTGATATTCATACCCATTAGTTATGCGTTTTATATTATATAGAAAAAATATATACTCTGCTAATGGTCAAGCTGTCGTAGCTATAGAAAAAAAACATATTTTAAGAAATTTCTATTGCATTTTAATCATATTTTTCTTATTTTGTCAAGTAAAATTTGTTTCATTACCATTTTATTTTTATTTATTTATTTTTTTTTTTATTAAAAATATATTTTAATTATAAAAAATAAAAAGTTGTCCCTAGTAACTTATAATCAACCTACTTTTAAATTTAACTTCTTTTTTTTCTGCGGGCATACTAACTAAGACTAAAGGGCATTTAAAAATTAAATTTTTTGGTTCATTTTAAAAAAATTAAAAACGGACAATAAAGAAGAATACAATAAATAAAAATTATTAGTTTCAAAATCAAAATAATATTTATAACCTAAAAATTGTTAATTAACTTTAATTTTAATATTTTAATTAACCATTTAAAATACTAAGTTTTTTCAGTTAATTAGATAATAATAAACAATTTAAATTAAAAATTCCATAAAAAATTCTTTATAGTACTTGTAGAGAGTCAGCCTGGCCTAGTGAGTAAAAACTTATATTTTCAGAGCACGTAGTACCGACTTCAATTCCCAAGGTGCCAACGAGATTTTTCTTGTGATTTTCTCTTTGGTGGTGTCTGATCTCTGGTGCAAGTCGGCCATAAAACCCGTCCCGTCCATTATTACTAGCCAAGAACTATCTTTGACTCCCTAACATATGAAAGAGAGCCACCAGTCTATGTAACATTTAAATTCTGATAATAAAATTATGTAAATCTGATCAGTAGTATACGTACCAGTATGTGGTTTAAATAAAGAAAATCGATTTTAAAAATTCAATTACTTATCAATTATGCTAAAATGAGTGGGTTAAATTGAATTATACCTAAATAATGTATTTATATAACAATAAATATAATTTTTTCAAAGGATGAAAAACGGATTAAGGATTAATTAAAGGATTGAGGATTTTTGAACTTGGGGGCTAAACGTCTGTAATTACACTAATGTTACTTATTATTAATTAAAAAACGAGAAAGAAACAAATAATTTTTTGATTCAATTTTTTTTTATAATAACTTTAGTTTTAAAGATATAACAATGTAAGGCTACAATATAAATAAAAAACAATTTTTATTATCAGTAATATTTTTCTTATTTTGTTTTTAAAGTTAAAAATCGATTCTTAGTCTATCACCGATCAATAAAAAATCGATTTTAAGCGATTTTGGCCAAAAATAATAATTAAGAACCAAAAGGATTAAATAAAATATTTTTAACACAAAGTTAATTTAGGTTAGGTTAGCTGTTAACTTATCGATATTGTTCCTACTTAACTTTATTTTATTTAATTATTTCCATTAACTTGCTCTTCATTACAAGCATACGAGATTTTTTTTTTTGAATACTATATGACAAACAAATTATTAATATTTTGTATTAAGGAATTTATATTTATATATTTTATATGGTTACTGTAAAATATTTAAGCTGTGATTTGAAATCATTACTAATTAGATAAAAATTAATATTAAAATTAATTAGTATTAATTTTATCCTGTTTTTACACGGGAATGCGTGGGCTTTATCACTATAGTAGTTTTTATAAAATTATTGGGTAAAAATAAATTTTACCAAAAATTATATTTTATTTAAATATAATTAACGATTATATTAAATTGTTGATTGTTTAATGAAACCTACAATGCTGACTTAATTTCACACATTGTTTTTTTTGTCGCTTTTTTTATAAAAAACATTTTTTTACTACTTATTGGGAAGAAAGTTCGATATTTTTTTTAACTTTTAAAATACATCTACTGATAGTTTTCATTTTTAATGTTTTAAGATTGCATTTATACATATTTAATATAAAATCTATTATGTATCATTTTTTATTAATTTTAACTAATTATTATTCATAATTTTTTCCCCGTATCAATATTGTATACGATTGTGCTGATTTGATACGAATGACTTGGGAAGAACGATATTTATTTGTATGTGTATTGTGACCATAAATAGACGTACTAGTCTGGTCTCCTGTAACCCTTATACATTTTAGATGCCTAGTAAAATTGAGCATTTTACATTTTTAACAATAATGTTATCATTAAGTATGTAAATATTTTTGTTGTGTAGCCAGTTACTTGGTATTACGCAAACAACTGGCATCATTTTGTTTTTCGATGTAACCCAACCTATACTGCTATATGTGACGTGCGAGTGTCGCCAAGGCAGCGGTATTTCCCACCGGTGGTTTCATTACCGACCTAAGTCAAGTCTTGTGATGGCGGGAAATACCACTGCCACCTTAGAACTTTCTCTTTGCACCAAATGACTCATCGTTAACGATGGCCAGGGAATTTCCGGCGGCGCCGTCAGACAACGAAAAACAAGTGATGGCGAGGCTAAAACAACCGCTTTTTTTCGAAAATTCTTAGAAATTTCTGTACCTCGGCCGTGACTCATTACAACCAACTGTACCAAATTATTTTGTGTAAGCTTCTCCTACTACTCTAATGACTAGTATTTTGCTCTAGGTTTATTAGAGTAAATCATTTAATTTCGTAAAATTTATTTCTTGATGTCTATAGTTCTTATAAAATCTAAAATGAACTATTATTTTTTTAAATTTAAATTCAGACTTCAATTAACGTCAATAGATAAAATTGTTCATTGTTAAATATTTAATAAATGTTTGTCTGGCATGATATTTAAATATTAGTCGTATCTAGAGTACTGTTTAGGGACATCCGTATATTGCGCAATTAGATACCGGATTTGGCCGCAAGTCTTATCCAGTTGAGTATGCGTGCGGTAAATATCGTTAAACATTTATTCTGGTGGTAAGTGGTGGCTGGTGACTCACTGTTGCTTAAATTAGGCGATGACGAAGGCGCACACGATACTGATGCTTGTAATGAGGGGGGGTCTCTATTACTTTTTTACTCCACCACCTTTTACCGCCACTATCGTAGACGTTCATTCATAATTTTCTTCGGTGTGTGATCAGTTGACAAGTATCATTCGAGTTGTTTCGTTGTTTATTTGTGTCAAAACTCGCATTTACGTTGTTAGCTTTACGGAGTGCTTCGTGTATTTTTTTATTGTAAAATAACTTTACTGTTCTTCTCTATTAGATTCCAATTCTCATGCTTGTCTTTAGGCAGTGACATTCTATGATAGTTGTGTGTTATTAATTATGCTGTTTCATACTGTACCTCCGTCTTGGGCAAACGAATATTGTACTACTATGGACGGTGATAAACGACCGTCTTCTTGCACGGTGTGTCCAGAATGCATGGAAACTGAGTGCTCGTGTTGGCATATTTTACAATTAGACGGTGTTGGTAGCATTTATACAGATGCAGGAAAATCATCATCCTGGAATCAGGTACGACAATATTTTAATGAAATTCCAAATACTACGTGTAGAATCTTGTCTTCTATGTGATCTGAATATAGTATTTGTTTTGCTTATGGAGGTATTATAGTCGTCATTGTTTTAATAGTTGGTCGTTTAATCTTCAGTTTAAGGTCAAGAATTTATTTTTGGAGGTGTGTAGAATGTAAACCTACTAACTTTATAAGGCTAGTGTAATCATTTTTAGTTCCCAAACCTACCCCTCGGGGCATGTTTACAAAACTACTCTCAAATGCGATCTTGGTAATGAGACTAAATTAAAGTGTATAGATTAAAAATAACATTAGTAAACAATTTTAGGGTGGCTGCCGCCCTCCTTTTAAAACATTCTAGTTAGTTACAGGGATTTTATTTTTGTTTTGTCCTAGACACTATCGAAAAATCGATAAAATGGACAAAACTTAGTAAATTGCAACCAAACAAAATTAAATAAATCATTAAAAAATGTTAAATTTTAAAGGTAAAAAGTATTATCAATAAATAATGAAATAAACTCAATTAAGTCTTAGAAATTATAAATTGTTTGTTTTATTTACTTACTTTTTTATTAAATTGTTATTTTGTCAATTTTGTCCGTCCATTTTATCAATCTGAACCTAAAAACCCTATCGAGCATAACTTATTAACTTAATTCTTTAATTAAACTATTGTATTTTGTTAATATTGTAGTTGGATGGATTAAATGGAACTGCTGGTGGAGGTGTACCAACTAGAACCACTCCTACTTTGACACCAACTACCTTGCGGACAATTGCTGATTCTTTATGTGAAGGAGGATCAACAAATTTTGTTGTCGATTTTGGACAATCATCCTCTTCTGCTACTGCTGACTTACACCACTTGTTGATGGATAGTAGTGGAAATCAACAACAACAACAACAACATAATCATCAAGACTCACATCACCGTTATAGTATTGCTAGTGGTGTATATGACATAAATACAGCTGGAGGGCCTTCTCCATTAATAAATAATAATAATTCTAACAATAGCAGGCAGGCTGGATTTGTGCCTCCCCTTGTTCATCATACAAATCAGCTACAACCTCTTATTCAATCACAAAACAATAATCAATCAGGTAAAATTAATTTTCCTTTAGAAGCCATATTTAAATATATTTAAACCATAAAACTAATAAGTTTCTTTTAAAACTTTTTAGTTTTGGTCAACGCTAAATCTTGGCAAGGTGTTGTTACTACAACTACAAATGCTACAGCATTAACATCACTGTCACAACAAAATACAGTCCCAAAGTACCAAAAAGAAATGACAACAACTGAAGATGATGATGATACCTCAGATAGTGATGTATCAACAAAACCAAAAAGGAAAACTCCTCTGAGAAATAGCAATGGTAGACAAAGTGGAAATATAAATAAAAAAGGTGCATCAAAATCATCAGGTAATTCATCTGGAACAAGTGGTGGTCGCCGGCCAAATAGTGATAATAAAGATAAAGTGGTAAGTCTAATAAAAATATACAAAAAAAAATTATGCATACAATAAAACAATGTGTCAATTTTTAGTTAATAAAACATTTATGATTTTGTGATACTAGAATAAAGGGTTTATATCAAAAATAGAAATGTTATAGCTTGTCTTATGAATTTTGTTAAATTATTATTATTTAAATTTATTGATTCTATTCATGTCAGTTTTAAACATTCTCAATCATCAGTACAATATTCACTGTTTGATGAATTTGTTTATGAGTTTTAAACTGAAGACATTTAACTTCAAAAGTATCAAAGTATTTTTAATTTTTAAAATTCACTTACATGACATTGACATAGGGAGAAGCTAGGGGTTTTCCAACAGTTTACAATTTAGCCCTCTAGAAATGTAGTAAAATTATATGTGTTGTTATATAAAAATTATTTAAAAAAAATTAAATTTAGCCTCCCAAAAATTTGACCAATTTGTCATTTATACTGCAACAGAATTTATAGGTTTTCAAGATGATCAAAAAACAAATTTGAATTATTCATGTTTAAATACAAGAAAAGATTTTATTTTCATAACTTATAATTAAATTATGAATCTTCTAAAAAATATACAGTAGTCCTAACTAAAAATTATTTTAAAAATATGAAATGCAAAATATTTACTGATTCAAAAGTTATTAAAGATGTCGGAATATAGAGTAAAAAATTTCATAGACACTTATTTTATCATTATTGATAAAAAAATCTTATTTTGAAATATGTAGTTTGGCAATATAAGTGACATAATTATTATGCAATATAATTCTAGGATTTAATTATAATTTGTTTACTCATTTGTTGATTAATTTAAAAATGAATGCTATGTAAAATTAACATTATTATTACTTTTACAGCTCTCTGCGGAAGAAGAACATAGAAGACAAGTCAGAAGAGAGAGAAACAAATTAGCTGCAGCTAGGTGCCGTAAGCGTCGAATGGACCACACTAATGAACTCTTGGAGGTATATATATATTACTTGCTTATACAGATTTTGTATTTACTTTTTTATTTTTTATTAGGAAACTGAACAATTAGAAGAGAAACGTATGAGATTACAAGTGGAAATTGAAGCTTTACGACAACAAAAACAAGATCTCCAACAGTTATTGACTGAACACAAACGTCAATGTCGAGTTAAAGTAGAACCTATGGCAGACTGTATAGATGATAAATCTAATATAATAATTGATTCTTCTCTTTTAAATTCTGCACCAACAATTTTACATACACCTATTGTTACTGCTGTGTCATCTGCAAGTGCAGCTGCTATCAGACGAGTACAACCAGCAGTAAGGCCAACAACTTTATTACGACTTAATGAAACTGTACAAACACCTCGATCACAACCACAACAACGAAACAATGTACAAAAAGTAGAATTGAATTTTGATTCTCTCATGGACGGTGGTACTGGTTTAACCCCAGTTACATCAAGTACTACTTCAAGTTTAGTAGCTATGCAGCAGGGAGGAAGTACAGTATCATGATAACAAAGTAACATGAACTTAAATAAAATTTAACTAGAATTTCTCTTCAGTTATAACTATCATTTTTCTAGTGAATTTTTTTATGACGAATTTATATTTTTTGTATAATATTATACAAAATTGAATTGGGAAATTGCACCTTCTTGTGATATTTATTCATACTATCATTTAATAGGGACAGAATAACTGAACTTTTCTATAAATTTATTATTATTAGTTGACATAAGATGCCATAGTTTTTGTATAATTTATTACACTTTTTTATTTTAAATTATTAATAAAATATTAAATTATTGAGGTTGTTTTTATAGTTAGTAGCAATATATATAAATATATATATTTATATTTGATGTATATTTTTATGTAGAATTTATGTATATAATAATAAAATATAATAATTATAGTATTCCAAAAATGACAATTCATACATCTTTTTTTTTATTTATATATTTTACATTTTCATAAATATTTTAGGCTAAAACAATATTTGTAATGCTATATGATGAATAGTACTAGCACAATCCACAGGCCAATTGGACTCTCAATTATTAGGATAGACATTTTTATTTAATTGTTATTTAAGTATATTTTATCTTAAAAATGTTATTGTTGAAATTTCCTTAAGCTTTGTCATTCTTCAGTGATAAAACTATCAATAAATTGTAAACTGAATAAAATAAAGATGCATTTATATAGAAAATCAATAAAAAAATAAAATTGAAGTGGGTTATGTTATAGGTAATTTTTTACTCCAAATTGTTTTTTTATTAACAGGTATCGGGTGCGCACTGAAAAAATGTTACAATAGTTTATTTAAAATAATAATATATTTTGAGGAAGGTTAATTGAAATTTAATAGAAAATTTATATTGTTTTCTGATTTATTGATATAATTTAAAGGAACGTAAATCATTTTGAAAAAGTAAATTTTGGTCGTTTGGTGTGTATTCTTAGGGATTTAGATGTGAAACGTCTTAGGCTTGCTACCATTATCATCAGCTGGCATAGCGTGTGCCTTTTTGACGATGGCCAATTTGGAATGAGGATCATGTACAGGTAATTGTCCGTACGGTGGATCTCGGGTACCATGCAGCATAAGTGTCCATTCCTTTAAGAAGCCTACATTCAATGGCTCTCGATTTGTGATAGACGTAGAGGTTTGTGCATGCATTGGAGACACCGTAATAGCCTCTGGAATGTTAGTAGTTTCATCATTTTCTTCTACTGATGGCTCTTTCGGTGTATTAAATTTGACCTTTAAATAAAATAATACAATTTTTTAGTATGAGAATTACATATTAAAATTGTTTACTCCAGAAAGAGACTAATCTATTTTAATAATTTTTTTTACGATTTTTAAAAAAGTCTTGAATACATCGCTTATTGTAAAAATGGGTAATATTACTAAATGTCCTCTTCGAAAATTTGAAATATAGTACATAAAGGGTAAAAATCACAAAATGTTTTCCTATAGAAAGAATATATGTCCATGAATTAAATTATTTTATTAAATATAATTCATCAATTTTTTATGAAAATTTATTTAAATCTAGAACAATTATTTTGATACATTTATGAAGATTTAAAAAAAGTAACTTGTTCTCTTTTTTTAGCTATAGATTTATACATTCATTGTAATAGTACTTAAAAAATTTTAATTCGTCAATTTTTTTCGCCAATACACTTTATAATATATATACAGGGTGTTCAATAAATTAGGAAACAGGTAAATTGTTACAAACAATGAGGATAATAAAAAATCGTTTCCTTATTGAACATCATGTATAGTATACGAGATGTGTTAAGAAAATAACAGGAATTTAAAAATTTCGTGAGTTTTTTACTCTTTATTTAAAAAAAAATAAAAATTCCCGTTATTTTCTGAACACACACCTCGTACATTCACTAATAAAATCGAAATAAATGGTAACAATATTTTAGTTAAATTAATGTTATTTGTAATGTTAATTATGTACCTCTAAAGTCCATTCACCAGCTGGATATTCTCCCCACGTGTGTGTGGTCATAAAAGGCCATTTGGTGAACCCATCTCGTCGATCATCATCATTTGGTCTTCTACTCAATATCATTGATCTAGAATAGAAAAAAAAATTATTTTATCTGAACATTGATTTAATTCAAACTTGTTCAATGAATTCTCTTTCAGGTGATTTAAATGAGCCTTTAGCTGTTAAACTTTTACTTCAAAGCACAAGATTTATTCCAACTTGTTAGTTAAGAAAAAAATTATGACGGATTGATTATTTTTTTTTAAACTATAAATTGACCGAAAATTTAAATAATGATTTTCCTCTCCATATAAATGGATAACTAGTTTCAATGGAGAATTGATGGGAAAGGATCCCGAGGCAAATTAATAGTGTACTAGATTCATATTTTTTTCTATGCTTTTACGGTCCATAAAGATCATAAAAGCCATTAATGGACTTTAACAGAAGGTACATCATCAGGACTACCTTGTTATTGACTGATCTACACTGCCCTTCCATTATTATTAATAATACATATTTTAGCGAAACGTAAAAAATTGTTCTACAATATCGACGTCAGACAGCTCTCTATCCCCTAAATACATCTCTATGCATAACTATTCTTAACGTATGTTGTAATTACAAATTACTTGCCTTGTTCCCATAGGAGAAGTTAGAAATAATTCAACGTCACCTCTTCGCGTTGAATTCAATGTTATTACTGCCTGCACGTGCTCTAAGTACTTGACATGAGTATCGGTGCCTCGACAAGCATCCGTATTCAACTTAAGCGTTAGAGATCCGTCCTTGTGTGATGTGAATTTTCTGTAATATTACAAGAGTAAAGTTTTTAAAATGAATAGTATAAAATAATTAAGTTTCGTTAAATTGTTTAAAATTTTTGTCTTCAACTAAATCATTCAATTATTTAAATTATAAGTTAACTGTGACTATGATGATATAATAAGGGATGACTATAATTCAAGATTAATATCAATTAGTTTAGCTTATCAAATTTGTTTAATGAGTGACAAAAAAAAATAAATGTTAATATAATATTGGAAATACAATAGTAAAATTTATTATATTATTTATATTTATAATATCTATAATTTGTTAATACCTGTATTTATTATGTGTCCCGGCTTGACAGTGATATCGAGCAGGTACAGTATGCCATAGCTTGGCCATTCGCACCATAGCACCAGCGTCCAGAACGCCAAAGCCAAAAAGATGATTAAATTCAAGTCCTACACCGTTCATGGTCCATTGGAACCGCGGTCGTTGCGATCCTCCTGCTCGGTGTCGGTCAAATAATGAGTTGCGTTTTGAAGTTAATACAGTTAAATGCTGTACATCCCTCCATGTCAATTCAGGACTAATACAAACAAAACACAAATAATTTAGTTAAATTATTTTATCATAAAAACTTAAAAAATTAAGTATAAAGTGTCGTTGATTATAGTAGTATAGTCTTAGTAAGCATTAAAAAAAAATGTAATACTTATCAAACATTTTTTAGGAGACTCATTCTCCTAAAAAATTAATCTCGTATTCATTTTTTAAATGCAAATAATATGAGGTTTTCTGATTTCAATTGAAATAACAGGTTTTAAGAGATACTTGGTATTTAATATCAGAACATGAAAAGTGACGTCGACAACGTGTTAATTATTCTATTTACGTGATCTAGGCTCTTCTCAAAACTCCAATCAGAAAAGTACCCGGTCAGCACAACTTATCAAAGTTAAAGGTTGCTTTAAGTGGTTCACTGATCACTGAGAGTTTAATATAGTTCAAAAAGTGACTAACCAAAGGATAAGTCATTATCAATCACCAGCACACAATTTTTGGGGTTCGATTTCCCAAATGATGATACTATCGATAGCTTATACTAGTTTGTATTTTAACTTCCGAAAAAGATTAAAGAACTGGTATCCTAATTTGATCTCTGGCCGCGTTTTAGAATTTCAAGTGTCTCTTTTAAATACAGTGTATAAATTATTTATAACTGTAGATATAATACATTTTATTTATATATTTTTACTTACTTAGCTTCCAATGCTAATGCAAATACTCCGGCAGCCTCGGGAGCTGCAGCTGATGTTCCCGAATGTGATTTCGTGCATTTTCCATATAAATCTGTAGTAGCCTAAGATTAAAATTGTATTTTAATGAGACTGAAACTCTCATCCTGAAGCACATTTAACTCTTACCACGCCGGTATTAGGGTCTTTTGCTCCATTGCTAAAAGTACTTGCTAATGTAGACGAGCAGCTCTCGTCATAGTGTGCATTCTGACCATCGTTTATGGCTGAGTTTATAGAAATCGTCCACATGCTAGCAGCATAACCATCACAGTTGCAATCATCTGCCTCGCCACCGTCGCCGCTAGCCCATACGTATATATTACCTTTTCCACGCCGTCCCTGTAAAAGTATTTAATAACGGAACTAGTAAATTATGTATAAGGCATTTAAAATGCAGGAAACACTAGTGAAATTTTTTATTTACAGGATAATTGCGCACATTATTTAGTTATTCTAAACACCACAATATAAATAAATTTTCTTGAATATTATATCATTATTTTTTAATAAACTTTTACCACCTGATAATAAAATTATTAATTATTTTCAATACAAATGTTCACTGCGCTTCAGGTCATCCTTATCAATTTACTATTAAATTCCAATCGTCTCTTCACCTGAACTTTTGGAATATGAACAAAAATAAAATCTACAAAATTTGATCAAGATTGGACAAATTTAAGACATTTTTGTTTATCTTAAAAATTATTACACTTACGACTGAAAATAATAGATATAATTAGTAGATCAAATACTTTTCTATAAAGTAGGAAAAATAATATTTGTGTTAAATTTACTATTTTCTCATAAAAAATATTTTTATTTTTGACGAACCGTTCGTCTAAAAACAAAATATTCCAAACATATATTGTACAAAATATTATTTTCTAGATAAAAAGCTTCAATAACTTTTTTATATCATTTATCACAATTGAAAATATTTATATTAATATAAAATAATGCAATTTTCAGTATCAAGCATTATTTTTTCTATAAAAATTAAAATTAGTGATTCGATATTTAGTTGAGTATCATAATATTGTTCAATAAAAATTTTATGACTTTTTTATGATCATAAAGTTATCACAATCTATAATGATTATTATTCACCATATAATTCAGTGCACTTAGTGAGTTAGTGTAGTGTATTATTTTTAACGTATTAAAAATTAATATCGTTAATAATTTAAAAACAATTATTTTCGTTTTATTATTTATAATATTTATATATATATATATATATATTTTTTTTTTATATTTTTGATTTCGATGAAATTTCTTTATTGATCAATGTATTCATAAATAAAAAAAAAACATATACATGTTTGTCATAGAAATAACAAAATATAATACTTCATCATTTTTTATTATTTCTCAGTAAAAATTACAATATCAAATTATTAAATATTAATTTTATACTATATTTAATTGTTATAAAAAATATTATTTATAAATTATACTTTTAAATATAAGAACTATTAATCAGGTTATAATTAAGGAAATAGGAGTTGATGTTGCTTTTGTAATTATGCAGTAATTTCTTAAAATTAAATACTATCTACAGATTTGCATCAAAGCTTTTCTTATTAGTGATTTTAGTTGTTGTCAGATATCATCTATACTTGTTCCAACTATCCCACGTCCGTACTGTGCCGTGACGTTACTGTGCTATCGTTTTTTTTTGTTATTTTTATTCCTGAATATAATTAATTTTAATCGTTTACAAATTTAAAATTAATATGGCTCTGTCTAAAGGAACCATGTTAACACAAGGCTGAATTTATTTAATGTGACATATAGAAAATCAAATTGTTGGAAGTCAATTACCGTCCAACAAATAAGTACATAGTGTACTGTTTTAAAACTTACGATACGTACAGTTAAGTTTACGTAAAAGTGCTAATATAGCAAAGATTTTTTTGAGCTTGAAGTTAAAATCCTACGTGGTGAGGCGTTTTAATACTAAAAAAAGTCAAATACTTTTATATTATTAAAATAATAAAATTTCCACAAACAAAAACAAAAATATTTTTTATTTTTTTATGAGAAAATAGTAAATTTAACACAAATATTATTCTTCCTACTTAATAGAAAATTATTTGATCTACTAATTATATCTATTATTTTCAGTCGTAAATGTAATAATTTTTGAGATAAACAAAAATTAAACTGAAAAACTACTCCTAAGGTCAATTTGCACGTCTTAAGTTTGTTCAATCTTGATCAAATTTTGTAGAAATTATTTGTGTTCATATTCCTAAAGGTTAGGTGGGAAGATGATTCAAATTTAAAGAAATATCTTCTATAGTGTGTATATTGTACACGTGTTAAAATGAAGCATTATACCTTTTTTGTAAGTTTATAACGCAATTTAAAGATGAAGATCATTTATTCTAAGATTTTAATATCGCTGTATTTAATGTACAACTAACATTTTTTTTAGTATATATTTAAAAAAAAATATATTCAAGATTTTTGGTTGGAAAATAAGATAAACTTGATCAAATTTTAGTGTACTAGGATCAGGTTTGATTATTAATTGGAGCCATGTAACAATGGTTCAGTTTCAATTGTTATAACTTTTTTAATTAAATGTAATGGATCTTTTTAATTGGTAGAAAAATNATTGGAGCCATGTAACAATGGTTCAGTTTCAATTGTTATAACTTTTTTAATTAAATGTAATGGATCTTTTTAATTGGTAGAAGCAATTCTAGCACACAATTAGTAGCACTCGAAATAATAATGTTTACATTTCTTTAGTTATGAATTATTAATTAACCTTAATAGTATTTTATGACATAAATTTTGTAATTTTAATCATAAATGTGCAAGCAGAAGCGAATTCAGAATATTTTAAGGTGGGTGTAAACATTTTTTTAGATGTCGAAATCCTTTTTTTGACCAATTTCAACATTTAATAGCCTTCACTGCCATTATTTTAGTAGATAATAGTAGTTCAAGGTCGCGCGTATCCTCTATAACTTTGGATCCGTCACTAATAGATAGCATAATTTACCTCATTTACTCCTCGCACAATTGCCCTCATGGTAGCATTTCGTGGTCCATCAACCGTCTTTCCATCGTCAGTAGGTCCCCAAGATGCGCTATATATATCTATTAAATCTGGTTCATGACCCATGCTATTGGCTTCTATTAGGTCTGTCATGTACGGTTGATCCAACATACGAATACCTACAGGGAAAAATAAAATGCCAAGTTTAATTTTCTTCCTCTGTATTAGAGTTGAATAAAAAGAAGTATTTGAGTGTACATCACATACCGGCTATTTTAGAATCATACGCAACACCAGTGCCACATACTCCATTGTCACGGGCCGCTGCCACCTCACCAGCACAGCGTGTCCCATGACTATTAAACCAATCATCTGTGTACCTTGGATATGGATATGGGTCGTTACTACTGAAATCATAGCTAGCTTGTGCATTCTGTGACAAAAATAATGAAAATTTTAACTCAGAGAGATAATTTGAACGTTCGATTAAGAATCAAACTTTGTTAAACGTGTGACGTCCTTTATCATCAATGTATAAAGTGTGAAAATGCAATGATGTGAGTGGGTCGTGACTGAAGGAAATAACCTTTGTGGCTTATCAGTGTAACTGTCATTCGTAGCTCTATCGTCATAGAATTTTCTTGACCGAAAAACGATACCCATTTAAAATGAAAGCCCAGGAGACCTAGCGCAGTTTTCCAGGCGAATTACATTTTGTATTAACGTCGTGTTTCGATATTAAACCTGACGTTTGAATGAAAAAGCATTTTACAACTACATGTCACATATATTGAATATTTAAATTTAACATTACTAGAAAGGTTATAGTCTTTATAAACAATTATTTAGATAGTAATTTAAAAAACGATTTAAAACATAACTTTATAGAAAAATTATATTTTTTTTTGGTTTATAGAAGTCAATAGGACGTCACTGTCGTTATAGAATTTGTTATCACATCAAATTATTTACTCACGTAATTGTACTTGAGGTCTTCATGTGTATAATCAACACCTATGAAATAACCAATAGACAATAACTTTTATATTTTATTAAAACAAGTACACTTCACAAAATTGGTGGTATTAAACTTTATTTTTATATGATTGCAACTCACCATCGTCCATTATAGCAGTCGTCACGTTCTTGCCGGACACACCTTGAGCCCAAGCGGCTCGTACATTTAAGTCCAGCCGTGGTTTACCCCCATTTTGTCCTGTGTTGCGTAGGTACCACTGCTCAGGAAATAATGGATCATTTGGCAGCGGATCATCCACATCAGAATAGTCACTATCGGACACATCCTCAAATGCTGGTCTAAGTACAGGAGGTGGAAGAGCTGGTCCGATGAACGGTGGTATCATCTTGAAACCGCGTTTCACCCTCTTAAAGCCTGGCTGCTGACTGACAGACTTGACCTATGGTCATCGAAAAAGTTTATGGTATCGCCATACTTTCGTTGCAGATTCAATAGTACTTACCAGTGGATCCTTCCGGAGTAATCGGACAGCCGGAAGCGAACGGCGTCCTCTGATTTTTGGTAAACCGTGATGCACGAATTGAAATTCATCTGTCGTGCCTCTAACCTAAAACATTATTAAGTTTCTTATTTAATAACAAATTATAACAATTTAAAGCACGAAAACATTTAAATAATTAATATATATATATATATATATATATATGTGTGTATAATAAAAAGTAATAATAACACTAGGATGCTGAATAGATTCTTTATTAAAGAAAAACTTTAAGATTTAAACTTCATACAATGCTGCCGTGCTAAGCGAAAACAGGATAACTCCAGACAACATGATTTTTCAGGAACACAAAAAAACATTTTTAACAGTAAATCAAGATACCCTTTTTTCCCAATGAATGAACATAAGTCAAAAGACGGTAACTCCATTATTTTTTATGTGATATACCAAGTTTTTGCTTAGTATTTGGATTTACTGTGTTTTCGCTTACAAAACGTCAAATATATTGAACTTTCCGTATATTTTCTTATTTTATATTTCAATTTTAGATTGGTTTTAATAGGAAATATGCTATTTTTACATCAAAAATCGGTGTAAAACCACTAAATTTACCTATAGAAACAAAAAAAAAATTTTTTTTTAATTTTGGAGTTATCCTGTTTTTGTTTAGCACGGCAGAATGACAACCGCGTGCTGTTTAAATGAGTCATTCCCGGTACTTATTGATCATAGTGTATATTTACTATAAACACACAAATAAAATATGAAGACTTCATAAGCTTCAGGAAATAATATTACATATAATTAATTAAATTTAATCTAAAATTTTAATGTATTAAAAATGTATTATTTTTTAATGTAAACTTTTAAAATGTAATTGTTGCAAATCAAATTTTAATGAGTTTACATGGTATAAATTGAAAACTACATTAATAATAATATTATAATTATTAAGAATTTTATATGTGAAAATAATTACAAGCACATAGAGCTATTTTAATGTGCAATAAATATCATATTTTTTCAACCTCTGTTTAAAATGAAATATTACAAAGGCCTTCAAAGAATCAGATACAGAAAGTGATAATTAAGAAACCATACAATAACCACCGTAAAACATTATATCGTCAATTGAATATTAATTTTGTAACTATTTTTGAAAATAATCCATATGAATGGATACTTAATTTCATTTATAAGCACTTCTAATGCTTGTTTTTTGTATAAACTAGTATAAGGCTTTATTTATTTAAGTCTTAAAATTATTTAGTGTTACTTTTCTGTGGATTTTTAAAAATTTTGATTTATTTATTTAAGTAGTTTTATTATGTGATTTCTCAAAGAAAACTGAAGTTATTTTTCAAGTGTTACAGTTTTTATCTTCAAAGTGTTACGTACATTATGTATTTTTATTTTATCGCGTAAAAAATCCACTTTTTAACATTTACACTCTATATGTACAATATTGTTTAGTTAATTGTGCGTAGAAAGAATATTTGTTGTGTAAGAATACTGTATTTTAGTTTTTTATTTTTTTAAATCACTGTCTGAGTATAAACGTTTTACAATGTCGTAAATCAATTTTATTTTTAAAAAAATTAATTTTATTAAAATTTAAGATTTTGTGTCAATAATTTCCAAATTAATTGTTAGTGTTGCTTTTCGTTTCTGTTTAACCAAGTAACTTGAAGTTAATTACTTTTAAGAAACATAAGAAATATTTCTTATTATAAAATTATTAGTTTAAATAATTATTTTAACTCAACTTCAATATATATATATATATAAACAAATTGTTAAGTCATACTCTACTTATTTTATAAACAGCTTCATTTTTGTAGTCAAATACTCACTTCGCAGAAAAGATCAAAATGACTGAAAATTACCGATAATTTTGGACAATATGAACGAAAAACGAAATAATATTATTTCCTAACATCAAAGACAAATTAATATAAAAAAAGTTTATTTATGTAGCAAACTAATAATTACAAAGACACATCATTTTTCAAGCTAATTGATCAAGTTTACTGCGTACTAAATAAAAAATAAAATATTAGATAAAAGATATTTTTTTATAAATTTATTAAGACTTCATTATTAACAATATTACACCTTGACTATTATTGTTTATTTAAGTTATTTAGTTTACATAGCGATATTAGTATTACTTTCAATATCGGTTTTATTCGAGTTTTTGTTCTAAACTTACATTTAATATGATAGCAATAAATATAAGGACCAGAACTTTTCAATCTAAAAAAAAACCCAGCACAGGGAGGTCGCGGCACAGTGGTGACGTTCCATAGTTGGGTCTAGTATAATGATATATGACAGTAATTAAAATCACTATAATAAAAAACGCTTCAATTCAAATGATTAGATAGTGTTTAATTTAAAAAAATTGTAGGATTATTCCAAAAGCTACATGATCTGCTATTTCTTTATTTATACCCTGATTAAGATAAAATATGTCGAAAGAAAGAGGGATATAAATATTATTTCTCATAAAAAAATTGTATTGATCCATACACTTTTCAATAAGTTATAGCATTATAAAGTTAAAAACGTAAAATATAAAATCGAGAATTTTCACACAAAATAGCATTTGGTAACTATTTTCACTGTGAAAACAAAATAAAGTCCGAAATTTTTTTTTCCATGATTTAATGTCTTAAAAGCTTTAAAATTGTTCTATATAAATGGTTTATACATGTAATTTTTTATTTTCATAGAGCACTAAAAATAAAATTAAAATGACATCTTTAATATAAATATGTTCTCTATATAATTGGCTTAAAATAAAAAACTATTAAAATATTTTGAAACAAACAATTTTTTCTAAAAGTTATTTTTTAGCACATATCGATTTATTTTGTATTATAATTATTATAAATAGATTATTAGAATAAATATTTTACATTAAAATGTAAAACATGTCTGTTACCACTTTTTCTCAGTTCTTACCGAATCGATTGATTTCAACAATAGGTCATAAAATCACAAATCGTATCTAGTCCAAGACATTATCCTCAAAAATTGAAAAAATATTCCTCGTTCCTCGTAAATGGGGGAAATCNATCCTCAAAAATTGAAAAAATATTCCTCGTTCCTCGTAAATGGGGGAAATCTCTAAAAAATTACAAATTTAAAAATCGCTAACTTTCGATATTTTTTCAATTTTTTTTACTTAAAATTGCCATAACTTTTTTAAAAATGACAAAATCAATATATTTTTTTTATTATAGATGCATTATGTCTTTACCTATTATTTGGTATATGTTTTTTATAAATCTAACTCCTTACCTGCCTATAGGGGGGCATTCAAAATGACAACTTTTTCAACTTAACTTTTTAAAGTGTTCCGAAAAGTCTGACACTTTTATATAGATCTTAAATTAAAGCTAATGTACTTTATTATAGAAAAAAAAAAATTCCGAATTTATTTTGTCTTCACGGTAAAAATGGCTACCAAATGCTTTTTTTGTGTAANTCCGAATTTATTTTGTCTTCACGGTAAAAATGGTTACCAAATGCTTTTTTTGTGTAAAAATTCTCGATTTTATATTTTACGTTTTTAACTTTATAATGCTATAACTTATTGAAAAGTGTATGGATCAATACAATTTTTTTATGAAAAATAATATTTATATCCTTTTTTCATTCGATTTACTTTATCTTCTTCAGGATATTAATAAGGAAATAGCAGATCATGTAGCTTTTGGAAGAATACACCAATTTTTTAAAATTAAACACTATCTAAAGATTTGCATCGAAGCGTTTTTTATGATAGTGATTATAATCATTGTCAGGTATCATTATACTAGTTAGGTCATACTTGACCTAACTATGCTATGTCACCACCGTGCTGGATTTTTTCATCATGTATTACATTAAACAAACTTTAATTGAAATCATTTAGGATGGAGTACGTATTTTATTACTATGCAAAATATAACAATATTGGTCATTTTTTCAATAATAGTGTGACGGTTTGTTTTAATGACCAATAACTCCTAGATATCGAGATTTCGGATAGATTTTTTTTTATCTTAAAATATATTGTATTAGCTTTGATTTAATATAGGTTTGAAGAAGAAAAGTTTTATGAAACAATAACAAAAAGAAAGGAATAATATTTATATAATTTTTAAGTCCCAAAACAAACTAAGTGATTCAATTTTCAAAAAAAGCATATCGTTATCAAGGCAAATGCTTGTAGTATTATCAATAAAAGTATTTTTATTAAAAAAAAAAAATTGTTTAACTTCGAGGGCTGTTTATATAAAAAAGAATAGTCATAAGGACAATTTTTTTTACTTATAGTATGTTACTTGAGCTTTATTATAAAATATGTTGAAAAGACGCAGTATTTTCGGAACAAATTCAAAAGTTTAGTTAAATGGTTAACTTTTCATATTAAAGTTATTATTTTGAATCCTCTCATTGGGTTGGTCAAGGGTCAGATTTTTAAAACAAATATATACCTAATAAAAGAAAAATACCTAAGGTATTTATAAAAATAGTTATTTTGATTTGTCAATTTTTAAAAAAGTTAAGACAATTAAAAAAAAAAAAAAGTAAAGTATAGTTGAAATTCAGTAAAGTGTAGTGTTGAGTGATATCGGATATTGATTAAAATCACTATGGTAAAGCACTTTATTGCGTATTTGAAAAATATTAATAAAAAAATTTACAATATCTACTAAAAAATTATGTGTTTTTTTATTTAAGTGTTTGATTACTAATACATTACTAATAGAAATTACAAGTCGTCTGAACATCATTATTTTTTCAATAGTATTATCTAGCACTACAAGCAAATGCAGCTATTTTCTTTTTCGAAATAAAAAAGGTATGAGTAAACTATCCTACTGACTTCTTAAAATAAATAAAATAATATCTCGTGTATTTATTGTTTCGGATTTTTTTTTTTTTTTGAAAAAGTATTTTTAAAATTAATATTTTTTATGTTGACCTTTATAAATACTATATAATCTAAACTGGATTTAGGATTGAACCCATGGGGCCTAATCCCTGTGGATTCTCAGTAAGTAACAACTAGCCTCTGCTTTATCTTGGATAGGAATCATAACTTAAGGCTTTTTATTTTACTTTTATAGCATTTAACTGCACTTATGGCAAATTTTAAAACACATTTAATAAACACATAAAAATTTAATAGTTCCTTGGAGAAAAAACACATTTTAAAATAATATCCCCTCTCAGTCTTTAAAAATAATCTCTAATAATTATCACCAGTTCATTTAAGCATTAATTAACAAGTATTGTTTTGTAAAATATCCTCAGTAGAATTGTACTACTAAGAACTTTTTTAATCTATTTTATATACTATTAGCTACGAATGATAAATTTTAATAATATTGACGTTTAATATTAATTTATAAACGAAATAAGTCAAATAACTCACAAATTAAAATAATAAATTAAATAACAATCCTCTGTTAATATTTAAAAAAAAATAACTCGTTATTACTAAAGGAAAACAAGTAATAATATATAGCGTAACAAAATATTATCAATTATTTGAGTAATATGTAATTTGTTGTCCGAAAATGATATGAATTGAAATGAATCAACGTCATTTACTGTATTTGTATTACAATAAACAGTAAAATAATCATTTTCGCACTTCATTAACGTTTGTGAAATCATAATGACACTGAAAACTATCACACGACGCACCCAAACATAAATTATTATTAAAAACTTATAGCAGCAGTTGAAATGTACATAATTTTTTAATTCCTGAAAGTATTTCAACATATATATTTTTAATTAGTCAAATATGAAAAATATGATTTTATATGAATATATAAAATTTTATATGAAATCAACCAACCACTTCTATTAAGGTTTTTCTCGTTTAATCTTGTTTAACTGATAGTTGATTAGGTAACTGTTATATTTAATTAGTCAAATATGAAAAAATATGATTTTATATGAATATGCTCTGTTAACATCAAATTACCTCTTATATACATAAGTTGTAATTTAAAATATAAAATTTTGTATTCAGTGTCTTTGTACTGTGAATAGTTACATATTTTACTCTTGTGGTGGTTTTTACATAAAAAATTCTCGCTTTAAGTATAAACATTAGGGATCTTTTTGATTGAAGACTTACAAAGTTGACGTAATTACTTAATAAATAACGTATCATTTCACTATTCAGGTCCGTTAATATAGCGCGTTTTCTGTTGTAGTCAGTTAAATATATTATTTACCAAAGCACACACATTTTTACGGAGGCATACTTAGAACCAATTTTCGGGAGGAAGGGACTGAATATTTTTAACTTAGGTAAGCATACTAAATAAAAATTTTTGCTAAAATTTATATAAAAAATACATTAATAAAATTTTTTCTAATGTGGTCATTAAAAGTGGCATATTTAGAAATTAATAATGAAGGGGGGGGGCACAAAAAATACGTTTGAAAGTAATCAAAATGTGTCGTCTACTATTGCCTTCTTCCAAATTTTTTCAAAAAAAATTTTATCGAAACTTTAAACACACTTGTGCATGGAATACCGGCTTTCTACCCACACGATACAGCATTGGCGGTAAAATAACAACGTAATGACGTCAGCGTTTTGTACTGCCCCGCGTAAGCTCTCCATCGGTGGCGGCGATTACTCTGCATCACCCTCACCACCGTACTCTTTCCACCTTTTCGACATTCACCACTCAAACTTACTTGTAGCCGCTTCCATCGCCGGTCGATATATTTTAATATTTATCGACAGTTTTTACCACCTGCTGCTCGCCCGACATCCAAGTACCACTGAAGGGATTTAACACGAAAAATTAATATTAAATTATCAACGTACAATTCTGTAATCTATCGCGTAATACTTTAATCTACCCGTAACTCGCTATTCTAATATGATTTGTCAGTTATCGAGTTTGTGATAATTATCTTACAACTCAAATAACTGTAGTTCGTAAACAACACAATCGCTGCGGACAAAGATTTTCAGAGCAACGAACATTTTACTATTAATTTATTTTGCAATATTACTAATGTGTATCAAATAATTTTAATTACAGCCTTACCTTGCCTACGTTCTGGAACATACCCCCAGTACGACGAGCCACCAAGTCGGCATGCTCATTAGCAACTTTAGCCGATGGCGCATGCAACTTCACCGAGAACGTATTTGTGTACAAAGTAGTACCGCAAGCTTGCTGCATTACAAGCGACAGCACAAGCCCCGCTGCGGTGGCTACCAAGACGAACATACGGCGGCCAGAAACGTGCCTTGGCCGTAAGCTGTTGGTGGTGGCGATGGCGGCAGGGCGATTTTGGCCCGCCATAGCCAATTTAACGTGAGAAGACGTATATATTGTCGGTAATCCCACGAAGATCCACGTGAAAACACAACAACTCGCCGTGTCGTCAAACACTACACAAGCGTGTAATGTCCAGCTGATGTCGTCGTACACCGTCGTCGTCACCGACACGAATGATGTTAAAGCGACCCTGTGTACGCAGTCGCTCGACTCGGTGCGAATACTGTCGCCGTAGTCAAGACTTGAAGCGTGCGGGGGACGTGGGCGATGGATACAGCGCCGACGCCAGGCACATACGTTACCGCTGGGGGTTTCAAACCTTCCATCCCTGTAAGCGGTTTTTGTGCGCGCGCGACCGCAACATAGAGTATAATAAGTTTTGTTCGGTTTTAGGTGGTAGGCAAAAGCATTGTGTCTACTGCACATATTCTTAGCCTGGATACATGAAATACAAATTACGCACTTTGTAAATTGTGTAAACAATAGCAGAAACCTTTTACTATTCACTGTATTATATGGGTCGATCTGAATTGCAACTTTTTCATGTTTAGGTTTCTTTGAAAATATAGGTCACGGATAAAATGTTTTATTTTTATGTGCATAAAAAGTAACTACGAATATAAATTTTACTTGTTTTTACTGTTTGATAATAAATCTATCTATCTCTAAGTGTTAAGTATTGCACGCGACGGTGAATTATCATGTTATGAATTTACAAACTCGGCCTAAAATAAAATTGATTTATACTGATAAATATTTGTGTATAAATAGCTAAAAAATACGCTAGGCTAACTATTTACATTATGAGATGCGTATTAAACACAGTTAACATATCAATACGCAATATTTTTTAGAAAACAAAAATTGCCCATAGTAATCGTTAAACGGAAATAGCAACTTTAGACATAAAAATTTTTTAATTTACGAGAAAAATAAGTACACGTGAGACTTTTATTCGTTTTTACGAACAATAATAATTGGGTCGTGATTATTTACTAAACAAGAGCCAGCAATTAGATGAAAAAATAATTGTTTACCATTTACAGTATTATCGAGCAACGACTGACAAGTTTGAAGAACATCTTCTCTCCCACACTAGGACTTTTGTAAAATCAATACCACCAAGTTGTTTTAACATTATATTTAAATGAAGGGTCCATTAGGTGAATTAAGTTGTCATCATCATGTTTTGTCGTATTTATGAAATGCATCCACTTTTTTTTTTTCTCGTGGCTACTCAACTACAACATATACGTATACGTTAGTTATTCTTAAGTACCTTTTCACTATGTAAAAAAATGTGTCGCTTATTTTGATACTTTCGTTTTATTTCAACAATGTAATAAGTGTAATTTGTACTCACATATCCAAAAACAATACCTTGTAGTCTTAATTTGTATATTTTTATTAGTGTTAAAGAGAATGTCAAGTTTTTACTATTAGCGTAGGCCATAAGGCACCTGTTGAAATCTTCAGCTGTGTGTTCTTACATATTAATTTAAAAATAGTGCATGTAAATATATGTACACACTCAAAAGTATTTGATAATTACAAGTTTAAACAATGCGGGTACTGACCCGTATTAACACATTACGGTTAACCACCGTAAGTTGACATTACCGATTTCCCTCCGAATTTATTTAGGTAATAATAGTATCCACAGGTCGATTACATTAATTCACTACCACCCTAGATAAAATAGTTTTGTTATCTGCGCTTCTACCATATAACAACATTTACATATTTAATGACGGCAAAAGTAGACGAAAATTTTGATTACTTTCAATCGTATTTCTAATTAATTATTAATTAATAGGCTTTAATGACCAGTGGCGTATTTAGAGGGGCAGCACAGGAGCACGTGCCCTACCCCCTATTGACTGAGTCATGTAAATATTTTATCAAGCAATGTTATAATGTATAATATCATTATAAAATCATAGTAAAATTAATACCTTCTCAGCTTCGCATCGAAGCTAAAAGTTATTTTTATGTTATCGATAACAATATGGGCTTTTCAAAAGTCGATAAAGTTGTCATGTGGAGCAAAATTTGACGTCCGCACAGTTTTCCCGTTGATGTTATCACCTATTTTTGAAGTGTTTATTACGTAGAGATACACTCTGTATATAAAGAAATATTTTTTTTTCAAAAAAATCTAAAATATGTGTTAACAAAAGTTATGAGTCGTTTTATTATAAATAAATTTTTGTTTAGTATGCTTACCTAAGTTAAAAATATTCGGTCCCTTCCTCCCGAAAATTGGTTCTAAATATGCCTCCGTAAAAATGTGTGTGCTTTGGTAAATAATATATTTAACAACAGAAAACGCGCTATATTAACGGACCTGAATAGTGAAATGATACGTTATTTATTAAGTAATTACGTCAACTTTGTAAGTCTTCAATCAAAAAGATCCCTAATGTTTATAATTAAAGTGAGAATTTTTTATGTAAATCATGTTTTTAATGGATGTTAGCATAACCACCACAAGAGTAAAATTGGTAACTATTCACAGTACAAAGACACTGAATACAAAATTTTATATTTTAAATTACAACTTATGTACATAAGTTTAAACGAAAGATTAAACGAAAAAAACCTTAATAGAAGTGGTTGGTTGATTTCTTTTTAAAATTGGTTATATGTAACTTAAATATAACTATAATTTGTTTATTTATATCAAATTGTTTTCATCATATTGTATTTTTAAAATAACTGGAAGGATATTTTATATGTAAATTTGTCATATAAGTTAGCCGTAAGTATTTGGCCGTTTTTAATCTTAAGGTCAACGCAATAAACAAAAAAACAAACCTTTTACGTAAAGTGGGATTTTATTCTGAGTAATCGTAATATTAACATTAATTATTTAATTAATACATTACCATTCAGTTATAACCGAATTAATCATTAACAAAAATTGTGAATATAATAATTAAAGAAAGTAATTGTTGTTAACCTTTATTAGGCACTAATTAATGATATTAGGTAACACTACTTAACAGCAAATTGATCCCACCAATAAAGGCCTAAATACCAAAATGTTTAAAATGAAGTAATGATATAATTTTATTTAAAATTAACCCGGACAAAGAAAATAAATAGATTAAGTTTAGCAGTTAAAAAAAGAAATAATTTACCAAACGTCTTTTAATAAGTAATAATATTGTAAAAATATCTTAAATTTTGAATTCTGCTTTTACAATTATTTTACCATTATAATCAGTTAAATTAATTTTTTAAATAATTTAAAATTAGTCACTTTGCTGGTTGGTAAAGTGAATATTTTAACTAATTTATATTTATTTCAACAAAATTTATCTCATTCAAATTTTAAAGTGGGACCATAGAATGGGACAGTATCCCATTCTATGAATCTTACAAGTTTAAAATTTTTGTTTATTTTTAAAAAATTGGTGGATTATTCCTAAAGTTACATGATCTGCTATTTCCTTATTAATATCCTGATTAAAATAAAGTATGTCGAATGAAAAATGGATTATTAAAAAATATTATTTCTCATAAAAAAATTATGTTGATCCATACACTTTTCAATAAGTTATATCATTATAAAGTTAAAAAGTTGAAAAAAATTCCATTGTTCCCCGTAAATGGGGGAAATCTACAAAAAAAAAAACCCAGCACAGGGGGGTCGCGGCACAGTGGTGACGTGGCATAGTTGGATCAAGTATAATGATATCTGACAGTGATTAAAATCACTATCAAAAAAAACGCTTCGATGCAAATCTTTAGATAGTGTTTAATTTTAAAAAATTGGTGGATTATTCCAAAAGCTTCATAAACTGCTAGTTCCTTATTAATATCCTGATTAAGATAAAGTATGTCGAATGAAAAAGGGATTATTAAAAAATAGTATTTCCCATAAAAAAATTATATTGATCAATACACTTTTCAATAAGTTATAGCATTATAATGTTAAAAATGTAAAAAATAAAATTGAGAATTTTCACACAATAATAGCATTTGGTAGCCATTTTCACCTTGAAGATAAAATAAAGTCCGAAATTTTTTTTTTCCATGATAAAGTATATTACATTAGCTTTAATTTAAGATATATATAAAAGTGTCAGACCTTCCGGAACACTTTCAAAAGTTAAGTTGAAAAAGTTCTACTTTCTATATGCATTTTTATGTTTTGAATCCCCCCTGTATTTAGGGAAATGGTCCGATTTAAAAAAACAGTATGTCGAATGAAAGATCTATATAAATACTACTTCTCATAAAAAAATTGTAATGATTCATACATTTTTCAAAAAGTTATAGCATAATAAAGTTAAAAATGGAAAATACAAAATCGAAAATTTTCACACAAAAATAGCATTCGGTAGCCATTTTCACCATGAAGATAAGATAAAGTCCGAAATTTTTTTTTTTCATGATAAAGCATATTACATTAGCTTTAATTTAAGATATATATAAAAGTGTCAGACCTTCCGGAACATTTTCAAAATTTAAGTTAAAAAAATTAATTTTTTGTGAAAAAGTTGTCATTTTAAATCCCCCCTTGTGGGCAGGTTAAGGGTTAAATTTATGAAAAAAATATACCAAATGAAAGGTAATGATATTATGCATCTATATAAAAAAGAATTATATTGATATGTTTATTTTTGAAAAAGTTATGGCACTTTTAAGTAAAAAAAATTGAAAAAATTTCGAAAATTAGCGATTTTTAAATTTGTAATTTTTTTGGAGGTTTCCCCCTTTTACGGGGAACGAGGGAATTTTTTTCAATTTTTAAGGGTAATGTCTTCGACTAGATACGATTTGTGATCTTTTGACGTATCATTGAAAGAAATCGGTTCGGTGAGAGCTGAGAAAAAGTGGTAACAGACACAAAAAAAAAAAAAAAAAAAACACATCTTAATAAAACCAATACCTTCTCAGCTTCGCATCGAAGCTAAAATGTAAAAAATAAAATCGAGAATTTTCACACAATAATAGCATTTGGTAGCCATTTTCACCATGAAGACAAAATAAAGTCCGAAATTTTTTTTTTTGCATAATAAAGTACATTACATTAGCTTTAATTTAAGATATATATAAAAGTGTCAGACTTTCCGGAACACTTTAAAAATTTAAGTGGAAAAAGTTAATTTTTTGTAAAAAAGTTGTCATTTTAATTCCTCCCGTGGGCAGGTAAAACGTCACATTTATAAAAAAATATGCAAAGTAACGATATCATGCATCTATATAAAAAGTTATGGCAATTTTAAGTAAAAAAAATTCTGGTGAATCAGCTCTTGATTAATTTCGGGCTGATTCACAACGTGGTGTGGCCTCCACCGTTAAAAGCGAAGGGGGCAAAAATAACTCACAAAAACATAAAACATATAAACACGAATACCTAAGGCGTTGGTTTAGGCCGGCGACTTAGGTCCTCCTGTACCGGGCGGCGCGGCTGCCTCTGTCTCAGGCGTTCAGCTTCTTCCTTCTTTTTCAAGATGGATTCGGCGAACGCCTGGACGAGCTTCCACGCCTCCCGGCTCCTCAACATCAGGTTCACCATGGACCCGACTCGGAACGTGGACCCTAGTTGAGACTCCAAAGGGTTCCGCTCCTGGGCCCACGCCTCGCACCGGAAGAGGGTGTGCAAAGCGCTATTAGCTTCTGCCGGGCGATCCGAACAATGGTCGCACTTCGGCGCGGCTGCTTTACGAATACGATGTAAGTACTCGTTAAAGCAGCCGTGGCCGGACATCACTTGGGTAAGACGATAAGTCATCTCACCGTGAGTCCGGTCCACCCAGGGGGGGACGGTCCTGGGCCACATTAAATCTAAGGGGGGCCAGGCCCACCCATGTCTACGTGCCTGCTTAAACTTACTTTAATGTGTTGAGTAGTGTGTCAATACATGTTAAACATTGGCGCCAGAACGCTAATTTTACTATAAATTAAACATTTTTTGGTAAGTTAGATTTTTATTTGAATAAGAGATTGACTAAACTTTTTTGCAAATGCATTTTCATAAATATTCGTTAAAAAATTAAGTTAATTTAAAGTTTTAATTTTTGTTGAGTAGCTTTACTTTAAGTAAAGTAACATTAACTATATAAGTTAAGTTCGACGAGTTTACTAATTGTGGTTGATTGATTATTTAATAATATGCTAAAAGAAAGTTTTTTTCAATAAATTTAAAATAAATAAAAATAAATTTGAATAATAGTATCTCGTGGAGGTATTGGACTAAAGATATATATATCTTGAACAGCAATGACAGAGTTATGCGATACTTATATATTGTACAAATTATCCTCTAGTGCATAATTATTTCTTATTTTTTATATTTTGCATAAAATTAATGAGCGCCTGTTTAATTTTTATAAAAATATATATTGAACATAAATACAATGATGTAATTATTAAAATGCCATGGTAGGAATAGCCAAATTTGTATACATATATATATATATATATATATATTTAATTTGTATACAAATTAAAAATTTTCAAATTCCCTGGTTATACTATGATTTCCAGTAAAATAAAAAAAAAGAAAATCCAGAAGAACTATATATATACAATTACATAAAAATAAATTTCAGAGAGAGTACAGTTGGATCTAATAAGTCCCTTCAAAAATGTTGAAATTGTACCTATGGTTATAGGATAAATTCCTAGAGCAAAAATATATACACAAAAGACTATTTTTCGTTTAGAGGAGTAGTGAAAATTTGTTTTATGTATATTCTTTCCAGAAAAAAAACCTTAATTATGCCATTACATGAGTACCATCAATATAAGACAGTTTTAATTTTAGTTACTATCGAGGTGAACATAATGGCCTTGCACTCAAACCTGTTGGTCCACTGTGCGCACCTCATATCGAATTGTCTTGATTCGTTTTATCCACCGAAGTGTTAATACCTTATCAACGATAAAGTCACCTCTATAGAAGACCAAAGAGTGCTGTCTTTCTAGCGAAATTAAGTATCTCTCTGGGTTTTAGGTTTTTAATATTTTCTTTTTCAGGAAAAGGTTTACTCAAGTAGTTTGATCTTAGTGTGGACAAGGCTTCACATTCGCACATAATGTGAAATGAGTCTTCCTCTTCTACTCCATACTTCCTGCACAATAGTGATTCCGATACTCCCATTGCGTTAAGATGTTTAAGCAAGTGACCATGTCCTGTCAGTAGACCAGTCAGGGTGCTTATTTGATGTCTAGTCATGCTATTAAGATCACCCAGCAATAGACCAGGGGTTTTGATAAACATTTTAGATTGTCTAGGTACTATCAAGTACTTCCAGATTTTCTTGTGTTGTTCTCTGCACCAATTCTAGGGTAGCGCTTTGAGCGATTGCTCAGTGAGTCCTACCACTGGTTTTGGTCCAACATAGGTGTTTTCTGCTCCTTTCCTGGCTAGAAAGTCAGCATTTTTATTTCCAGTGACACCGTTGTGTCCCAGTACCCACGCTAGTGTAACTTTGTTGAACCTCGATAGTGATTCTAAAGTTTCCCTGCATTCGAGGACCCGCTTTGAATTCACCTGTTCGTTACAGAGTGCCTTCAAAGCCGCTTGACTATCACTTAAGATAACTATCTTAAGTGTTATCTATCTATTTTTGTATACCAGCAGGTTCTGAGCCCCTACCAGTATCGCCATCATTTCTGCTTGTAAAACAGAGGGTGCTGTGCCCAATGACATTTATTCGTGGCTTTAAACCCCAAATTCCAGCACCTACCTTTCCTGATTTTTTGGATCCATCTGTATATATCACAAATCCTCCTTTTTCAGTTGGTTAATATTCCATTCTCTACATGTAGTGATCTCCACTTTGTAGGGAATGTTATTCTTAAGAACAGGTTTGATATAGTCCAAGGGGTATTCCCAAAACGCCCTGGTTTATCACTTTTAGTATTTTACCATGTTCTTTTGTGTCACTCTCCAAAGTCCACATACCTAAGTTGTAGAATCTTAGTGCTATGGCTTTGACGTGAGCTTTCACCTCTAGATGCAGAGGAGGCAATCCGATTAGTGCCTCTAGTGTGACCGTTGGTGTAGTTCTTAATGCTCCAGTGATAGTCATAGTAACCATTCTCTGTATGCGACTAAGTTCTTTCCCAGCTGTAACGAGTGCTGTTCTGGTCCACCAGACTAGGGCACCGTACAATATCATTGGTTTAATCACTGAAGTGTACAACCAATACATAACTCTTAGTTTAAGACCCCATGTCTTTCCCAAGGCTCTGCTTCAAGTTCACATTGTGGTCATTACTTTTTATCAATATAAGATAAGATCAATTAATTTTTTTCCAGAATCTATAAATTATATGTAAATATTTAATTCATAAAAAGTAACAAATATAGACATCAATACATTAGTGTTAAAAAATATAAACAATAAATATTCATAATTTTTATCATAGTTACAATTAAAATATATGATTTATTACATTAGTGATTAGAATAGTACAATATACTATTACAATAACAATCTTTTTTTTACTCTCTTTTTTTTTAATATTATAAGTACTAAGACAAAACAATTTAGCAGTCAATAATAACTTTGCAATAAATTATATGCAAATAATATATATTTAAAGTTTTTCGTTTGATTAAAATTTAAAAGTAAATAATATTAATCATTCAAAATCAAATCACATTTTAATGCTACTAGAGATTAATTATAATTTTTTTACTTAGTTTAATTATAGTTTTGTTTTTATTAAAACAAATTTTATTTAAGTATAAATTAGTTTATTTGATGTATGATATAACTATTCATTCTATTTTTATTCACTAGTTAGCACATATATAATATATCAATACATATAAATTATTATAGTAAAAAATTATTATAAAACTGAACCCACTACAGCAATTTGCTGTAAGTAAGAATATTGAATTTTTTTATGAGTTTATGTACATAATGGATTAGATCACAAAAAAATTGAAGATTATTTATCACATTATACAGTTTTTGTAAATGATGCACTTTTATTTCTTTCTTTAAACTTAAGAAGTAAAGTTCGACGAGCACGATCGTGTTTCTCTTGAATTTCTGCAGCACTGCATATTTTGTTGTTATTACTTTTATTAGCAGAAATACTTGCACTATTTATACTAAAAGTTAAATTGATTAAAATAAAAGTTTAAATAAACAGTAAATTATATAAGTTATTTACCTTAAAACACAATTATTTTTTTGCTGATGGTTATCTAAACTAGATATTGTAGTTTTATTGTTGAGACCAATTGAGGATGAAGATGATGATCTACGCCATAAATTATTAGAGCCACTACTTGTTGAATCTATAATTAATATAATATATGTATACAATTATTTTTAATTAGTTGAAAATGTAATTTTTTTATTTTGTTTAAGAAACATTACTAAACAATACTAAACAGTATTCCCCTGAAGGCTCTAAAAATTAATTATGGAGTATTTTTTTAATAAGTTACTTTTTAATGATTCTTTTAAAAATATAAGATTTATTTATTTATTATTTGTTTTTAACTTATTATTTTTTTTTTAAAGTATATTTAAAAAAATAACTTTTTAAAATATTCATACTATAAAAATCCAAGGAAGTTTTATAAAAATTTATGTATCTCACGTAGATTATAATTTTAAACTTGATATAGTCAAAAACAAAGGGGTATGGTAATTTTCATATAACGTCCATCCAGCACCCATTTTTTGTACAAAAATTTTGCAAGAAATTTATTAGTTATTGTTAACAAATAGACAATGGAAATCAACTAAAAACAATTTCTAAACTCCTACTTTCAATATAAAAAAAAATCCTCCATAATCCATTTTTAGGTGCTTTTGGGGAATACAATTTTGCAGTGTGTGACATATATGTCTGATATATCTGTGTAAGTATTATATTAAATTACTTTTATAATTTGTTTTTCTTTGTGTTGAAGATTGACTTGGTTTTATGACAGTTTTTTCAATTTGTTTTTCTTTAAATTTAGATTCTATTAGAGTATTGGTAGTGTTGCTTTTACCTTTTAATGAAATTTGTTGTTCGATAGCTGATAAATCAATTGTACTCAGTAATAAATCATCATCTTCTTCTTCTAACAAACCTTAACAAATAAATACTATAAAATTAATACATTAATTATTTATAATTTAAAAAAGTAGTCAGATTTCATTATCTTCAAGGTGTAACAGGATTCTTTTATAAATTAAAAATTGATTTTTTAAATTTATGTAATTAATTAAAATGAATAATTCATAAAATTTAAAATATATGTTTTATTTTATAATTTAATTCATGTACAAACAGCTCCTTTAATAAAGGCTATTCTGCTATTAATAATTTTTTTTAATTCAAATATCAATACAAAAATTTATTTTTGTTAACCCTGGAATGCTAGCATACATCAGACTGACACATTGTGTGCGCGCTGATCACTTACCCTTCTGTCCCTTTCCTTCTTGCACCACTGTACCTTTTTTATGTTATTTGAATAAAGATTCTTTTAAAAATGATCATAGCTCGTTTTTATCCCAACTCACCCTATGCTCACACTGTTAACAATAAAAACTATCAAAGAAGTCAAATTGACGCATCGCTAGTAAAATGCGCCTATAAGATATCGCTAGCGTTCCAGGGTTAAAAATGAGTTGTAGTACAAAATCAATAACAAACAAATTCATAATAATTGTAATTATTAAAATTAACAATTAAAAATATATAGGATATTTAATATATATTTTAATAAAAATAAAAATTTACCATTATTATTAATGATTATGTTTTTGTCCTTATTACTATCATGATAGTTATTATTATTAATAGATTTTGTTTCAAGGGTTTGTTTAAATTTTTTGATAATATGTCCAGATGGACTCTTGTTCATATTCTTGCTGTTAGATTTCAAAAAAACTTGTGAAGAATAATTATTATTTGTGATCATTTCCATGTTATTATTCAAGCTATTTTTCACAAATGAATTTGAAGTTTCTGTATTACTATTTAACAGCCTATTTATATCTATAGATATATCACAAGTTTGTTCCGTCATATTTTCTATCGCTTGGCTACACAGAAACATCAACTCATCGTCAGCTGGATCCATTATAGAATTAAGTTTTTCATTAATATTATTTTTGGTCAAAGAATTTTCTATTGAACTAATATTTTTTATTTCCTCTGATGTACTTTTTAAGCACTTGTTTTTAGTTTTTGCACCTAATTAAACAAAAAAAATTTTAATTATATTTTTTTTAACAAAAATTGTTTAAATTCACATTGATATTATCAGTGGGGTACAAAAGATTCTAGGGCTATGGGTAGTCTTTTAGAAAATACTTAGATATTCAATTTTTTTTAGTAGTATTTGTTTGATTTTTGTACAATCACAAATTGAAAATAAAAAAATACATTAATAAAAATAGAGATATATAAATAATAAAAATGTTTTTTATATATTGGTTTCAAATTATTTTAGTATAGTTAAATATAAATCTGGATTTTTTGAATAATGATATAAATAATTTTTGCTGAAAGTTGTTAAATAGATGTTCAATTAGGTTTTACAAAATATTTAAATTGTTCTGTTCGAGTTGGATTTTAAAATTGAAAGTTCGTTTCAACCTTAAAAATCAGGTATTGTAATATCATTAGTTATAATAGATGTGAGTTTTGTATAAAATTATTTTTTATTAAGTAGAAAAGTAAAATCTATTTTATTTTATCATAAATGGTGAAATTTGTTTATATGAATTGTCATTTTATTTTTTTGGCATACGCATTATAATAAAATTTAGAGTTTAAATTAATTTATATTTGATTAAAGTAATCACTTATTTTGAGATTGAAAATTTTAGAAAAACAATTACTTCATTTACTCATAGAAAGTTTTTAAATTTTTCACTTATTTTAATTTACTTGATAAATTTAATTAATATATTTTAATTATTTAAACTAAAAGTTTTGAATCATATACAGAAAAAAATTCGGAGGTAGTTGGATTGTGTTTTAGCATCATTAATAAGACAGTAATATAATACAATTTTTGTAAACCTTAGAAGGTATTAATTTGACTATGCAGTTTTTTTTTTTTATATTTGTTGCCACATTTTATCAGATTTTACCAAATTGATTTTATTTAACGATATGTCAGAAGATCACAAACCGTATCAAGTTGAAGACATTTTACTTCAAAATTCAAAAAATTTCCCTCATTCCCTGCAAATGGAGGAAATCTTCAAAATAATTACAATTTTTAAAATTTGTTTGGTAAATATTGACATTTTTTTTCTTAAAACTTTCATTACTTTTTCATAAAAGAACAAATCAAAATAATTTTATTTTATATAAAAATCTTGGGTATTTCCTTTTCATTTGATATACATTTTTTAAAACCTAGCTGTTTATCTGACCATAGGGGGTAATCAAAATAGCAGCTTTTTTACAAAAGTAAATTTCTTCAACTTATGTTAAACATATGTTAAATTAAAGCTTGTGTTACCTACTATAAATTATAAAAATAAATGTTGTCCAGATGACTTATGTTTTATGTACAAATGACCAAAGTTGAACAAATGTATTAAATATTTATTCATATAATATACTTATATATCATAATAAAATTTGTAGTGTATTAAATTTATTTTTTAAGAATATTCAAAACTTTTAACTACAGGAAAATATAAACGGGATATCAGTTATGAATAATTATTTTGTAATAAAAACAACAAAAATAATTTAATGATAAGTACTTACTTAAACAGCTTAACACAAAACCCATATAATCATTTAGTTCTGTCTCTAGTTTATTGTTATTGATAGGAGAATTTGTTATATATTTACGTCTAGGGGAAGTATTTTGTTGTTTGGGAGACAAACATGATTTACTAAATATAGTTTGCTGTCTAGTAGAAGATACTAAGCTATTTGAGGACCATCGCATTAGTCTTCTCTTACATTTTTCATCAGGACCATCTAATAATAAAAATTTGTATTTAAAATTTCATAAAAACTCTAGGATTAGTTTTGAAATTCAAGATAATAAATTTATATAATTTCAATACGTACATTCATAATCAAAAAAAGCAGACCCACAACCATCATCCCAACCTATTCTTACATCTTCATCATCATCTTTAATCCCACAAATTTTGCGCCGATTATAGCTAATAGGTATCAAGTGTGAAAACTGTGGGCTTTCTTGTTCAACTTCTTCTATGTAACTGTCATCAAGATTACTAATAACACGAATAGGGGTTTTAGGACTTGCTGTAGTAGCTGTAATAATTAATAAAAATAAAATTTAATTTAATATTATTATTTGTATATGCATTGTAATTTTAAAAGCATACCAGTTAATAAACACTGTGCAGTAACAACAGTACTTGACTGTGTTTCTTCTGATACTTTAGATTTTTTTAATTTAGAACGTTCAGGAGTTTCCATTATTAATTACAAATAAAATTTTGTAATTAAAACACTCATAACATATATATATGCAAAAATTAAAAAATACAAACACAAAGAAAAAATTTTCAAAAAAATATGTACCTTAAATGGTTAACAAGATTTCATAAAACAAGCTTAATCGCAAAATATACAAAAAAAAATTGTGGAGTGAATTAAATTAGTTAAATTATAAAATTAAAATAGTTATAATTATTTGAAAAAAACTTGAAAACAAGTTGGTGTAAGTTTTTTAAGTGGAGCTATCTGTATTTTGATTTATTTTGAATTATTGCGATAACCGTTGCTTTCATTGATACAATATATAACTAGTGACCAGTTTAATGGTAACTTGGTACGTTAATTCTTACCGCCATAAATATATACGAGGTACGCGCGGGAAATTTTATAATCTAAAAAATCACCATCATTATACGATTGATGATTACCATCTCTAGGAGGTACACCTTAGAGATTGAATAATTAGTTTATTCGATTGAAATGTTTATTAGTTCACAGTTCAATTTAATGAGTGTTCAAAAGAACTGTTCATTAGTTGATTTAATTCTTCAGGTTTACTTATTTCGCTGAACTTAACGAACTTTTCTGAACGAAACGTTTGTTTTATTTGTAATAATAATTAAAAAAATTGTGTATACAGAGTGATCCAAATGAAAAATTTAAAAATACAGAGTGATTCAAATGACAAAAAAAAAAAAATTGTTGAATATCGCTACAATCGATATGTTTTTGAAATCTACATGTTTAGAGCATTCAAACAATGCAGAAATAATTGAAATCAGAGCATTTTAAAAAAATTGTGTATACAGAGTGATCCAAATGAAAAATATAAAAATACAGAGTGATTCAAATGACAAAAAAAAATAAATTGTTGAATATCGCTATAATCGATATGTTTTTGAAATCTACATGTTTAGAGCATCTAATAATGCAGAAATAATTGAAATCAGAGCATTTAAAAAAAATTGTGTATACAGAGTGATCCAAATAAAAAATTTCAAAATACAGAGTGATTCAAATGACAAAAAAAAA